GCTGTCAACTTAGATCTTCTTTTATAGTTTAGTCAAAAAGAATATAGCGGCCCCAAGCATACCATAGGTACCTCAGTTCTTTTGATTTTGCTGCCCCCAAGTGAAAAAGCTGTCATTCATTAAGAAGTAAATTGGGGAAATACTAGATCTATGATGGGGAATATTAGCAATCCTTTTTTATTAACAGTGCAACTGAGGCTCAGAGTCTAAAGTTGATTCATTAAATAAGGATTAGGGTGCATCCTGAAGTCAGGAATTCAGGTGATGCATGCCCCCATTAGATCATGGTGAGCAAAATAAACATATTTATAGTGAGATAACACTGCAGTGACTACTAAGTTGGCTGACTTTTGGGTAGTTAAACAGTATTGATGGGCTTGCACGGTGACTCAGCTGTTAAAGCACTTGCTGCACAAGCCTGATTACCTGAATTGGTCCCTGGAACACATGCATAAAAACCAGATGCTGCCAGATGTGGTGGTGCACACCTTTAATTCCAGCACTCTGGAGGCAGGAGTAGGTAGAACTCCAAGTTCACAGCCAACCTGGTCTACAAAGTAAGTTCCAGGACAGTCAGGGCTCAGAAAGAAAGAAAGAAAGAAAGAAAGAAAGAAAGAAAGAAAGAAAGAAAGAAAGAAAGAAAGAAAGAAAGACAGACAGACAGACAGACAGACAGACAGACAGACAGACAGACAGACAGGGAGGGGAAAGAAAAAGAAAGGACAGAAGGAAGCGAGAGAGGGAGAGAGGAAGGAGAGAGAGAGAGAGAGAGAGAGAGAGAGAGAGAGAGAGAGAGAGAGAGAGAGAGAGCAGCAAGCAGGCCAAAAGCATGGCACACATCTGTGACCCCAGGGCTCCTACTATGAGATAGAAATGGAGATAAGAGGATCATCAAGAAACTCAAGGCCAGCGACTGTGAGGTATGAAGCATGGCAGAGACACCCAAACTCCCTCAGCAAGGTGCAAGGAGAGAAGCAACATCCAAAAGTTATCCTCTGACTGCATGAGCACCATGCCACGTATGCACACGCAGACAGAGATAATAAAAAATAACAGTGAAAGAAAGAATTCTAAAATTATTCTGATGATGCACTTAGGTTCGTTTCATTAACAGTTTCTTCAGGTCTTCCTTCGACCTTGGACTGTGCAACAGTGCATAAAAAAACTCACTGAAGGGATAGAAAAGAGTTCTGATTAAATTTTCAATAAGACTCTAAGGAACAGTAGTAATATTAATTTATTAAATGTCACATCCATGTAAGATGTGAGGTAGCTGAATCACCGCAGCATAAGTATTCAAACAGTGAAATGGATAAAGACTGATGTTAATTCTGGGTACAGTTGCAAAAGAGGATGGTCAGATTTAGGGAAGCAATAGAGTCCTAGCGTCTGCCTTGGCCAGCCTGGAATGCCAGTGTGCTTCATGGAACCGAAGGTCAGAAAAGGCTATCATATGAACAGTTGTGGCATTCGAACAAGAAAAGCCATAGGGATGGCAAACACATGACAAGCCAATTTACACGAGGATTGAAATGACTTAGCTCGTGAACTAGTTGAATAATGACGGGTTTTCAGCCTCTCTGGAGTTCTAGGTCAGACATCATTTGGTCCCAGAACCAAGCGGTGCGTGAGATGGGTTGGTAGGCAGCCGGGCAGGCAAGAGCACTGGCTCTGAGAGTTCCTCACTGGGATTCTGGGTTGGGATTCACTCAGTCCCAGAGCTGAGTAACGGGTGTGGTGGCTGATGTGAGACAGGACAGGCTCTGGAGGTTCCAACCTGCAATCCCGGCTCAAAATTCACACAGCTCCGGGATTGCTTGGTGGTTTGAGAAGCTGATAGGCAGGCATACCACTGGCTCTCCGGGTTTCCAGTTGGACTGCAAGTGGTGGCTGGGATGCCTGACAGGTGGGTGGGCAGAGGGACTAGAGGTCTTTAACCAGGGTGGGTTCCAGACCAACTTCTACATTGCACCAGAGCCAAGCAGTGGCTGGAGCAGCTAATATGTAAAATGAGGCCTTTTTGTTGCTATCCATCATTTTGAGATCTTTACATGAGAAAAACAAAGAAAGTTAAAATTGTAATACATGCCAAGAAATAGATGGCCAACATGAAATGAACTCAATGGCATCTTTTGATGTTCTTTGTCTCATCAAAGAGTCGGGATTTTTTTAATCTTAAAGGTCCTCTGTGTATATATTATAGTTTCTGGTTTTGTGTTTTTAATGGGTTTCTATGTGTGTAAACATGTGTTTCTGCATCTACATGTGTTTCTTGTGCCTTTTCCTTAGCTCTTTTTCTTCTGTTTATTTATTTTACCCTATTCTGATTTGTTTGGTTTTTATTTACCTTATTTTATTTTGTTATTACTCCTTAGATTCCTGTTTGTTTTCTAATGAGAGACAGAAAGGGGGTGGATCCAGATGGAACAGGAGGAACTGGGAGGACTAGGGGGGAGGAGAAACTGTAATCAGAATACATTGCATGAAAAAAAATCAATTTTCAATTAAAGAAAGATAGTCTATGGCATGTAGAAGAATGCGGATCGATCCATGTTTATCGCCATGCACAAAACTTAAGTCCAAATGGATCAAAGACCTCAACATAAATCCAGCCACGCTGAACCTCTTAGAAGAGAAAGTGGGTGGTACCCTTGAACGAATTGGTACAGGAGACAGCTTCCTGAACATAACACCAGTAGCACAGACAGTGAGATCAACAATTAATAAATGGGACCTACTGAAACTGAGAAGCTTCTGTAAGGCAAAGGACACAGTCAGCAAGACAAAAAGGCAGCCCACAGAATGGGAAAAAATATTCACTAATCCCACATCTGACAGAGGGTTGATCTCCAAAATTTACAAAGAACTCAAGAAGCAAGTCTCCAAAACACCAAAGGACCCTATTAAAAAGTGGGCTGCAGAACTAAATAGAGAGTTTTCAATAGAGGAGTCTAAAATGGCTGAGAGGCACTTGAGAAAGCGCTCAACATCCTTAGCCATCCGGGAAATGCAAATCAAAACAACTCTGAGATACCATCTCACTCCTGTCAGAATGGCTAAAATCAAAAACACCAATGACAATTTATGCTGGAGATGATGTGGTGAAAGGGGGACACTCCTCCATTGCTGGTGGGAGTGCCAACTGGTTCAGCCACTTTGGAAATCAGTATGGAGATTCCTCAGAAAAATGGGAATAGACCTACCACAAGACCCAGCAACTCCACTCTTAGGCATATATCCAAAAGATGCCCATTCATACAACAAAGATGTCTGTTCCACTATGTTCATAGCAGCTTTATTTGTAATAGCCAGAAACTGGAAGCAACCTAGATGTCCCTCACCCGAAGAGTGGATAGAGAAAATGTGGTACATCTACACAATGGAGTACTATTCAGCAGAAAAAAATAATGAAATCATGAGATTCGCAGGCAAGTGAATGACACTAGAAGAAACCATCCTGAGTGAGGTAACCCAGTCACAAAAAGAGAAACATGGCATGTACTCTCTCATATATGGATTTTAGACATAGATCTGGGGAGTGCCAGCCTACAATCCTATGGCCAGAGAGTCTGGGAAACAGAAACTTCATTTAGTGGCTGATCGAAGAAGAGGCAGACTCCCTTGGTTAAGTACTGAGCTGAACTCAAGAAAGCCAGTAACAGAGAGGGAGGACTGATGATCAAAGGGATTAAGACTGGGCTGGTTTAACCCCCAGAAACAGCTGACCAGACAAAGGTTAACTCTTGAATCCCAGGCATCAGCCTGGGAATCCAGCATGGGACTGATCAAGACCCCCTGAATCTGGGTGTCAGTGAGGAGGCCTAGGGAATCTATTGAGCCTTGGGCAGCAGATCAGTACCCATCCCAAGTATACACACGGACTTTGGACTCCCATAGAACAATATGAGGTGCACTCTCACCCTGAACTCTTGGGGAAGGGTCTAGGCCCTGCCCTATATGAAATGACAGACGATGGACACCCCCATGGAGGGCCTCACCCTCCCTGGGGGAAAGAGGGGATAACGGGGGGGGGGGCTTGGGGGGAGGGCACGGGAGGAGGGGAGGGAATGGGAGAGGGACCTGGAACTGACTTGTGAAGCAACCTCGTTTCTTATCTAAATTTAAACTGGAAAATAAAATATATAAAAAAGAAAGATAGTCTGTGTAGAACTAAAAAAATTATAATAGTTAAAGGTTTACTATCATGTCAAGTCAGATAGGCACTCTAAGAAGAAATCTGAGTCTTGGCTAGGGAGAGGGCTCCATGGGTAGCATACTTGCTGCACAAGTGTGGGGCCCCTAGTTTGAATCCCCACAAGTAAGGATTCAGTGACATCATTTGTAATTCTGCTGCTCCTATGGGAAGATGAGAGGCAGGAAGAAAAGAATCCCAGGAGCTTGCATGCTAAGTGGAATAGCATAGACAGCAGGGGAACACTGTGGCCGTCAAGGGCTGGCACCCAAGTTGTCTTCTGACATTCACGTGGGCTGCGTGACACAAGAGCATCTGCATTTGCACACATGAAAGCACACACACATACACACACACACGAACAAACAAACACACACACATGCATGCACACACACACGCACGCACGCACACACCAATACATACTCCTTTGTTTTGATTTCACAGAGAGCCAACTGGGAAGAAAACTTAAAGAATTCTCTTGCCTCTCCTGCCTCAGTCTCCTATGTGTTGAGAATAGGAGTGTGCACCACCTTACTGTGCCACTCACATAGACTGTAGTAGTCTTGCTCTACCCATTACCAACAGCTAAATACTGATTTGCGTCTCCCATTGTCTTATTATGCACAATGAAATAGCCCTTTCAGAGATACAGCATGAGCCGACGCAGGCTTTGTTCATTAGTTTGCATCAATGACATAGTTATAATCATGCAACTTCTGAATAGAGGCTTGGAATTAATGCTTTGTGACATTTACTAACTAATTTTACAAAATAGATTGTTGGATGACCTCCTGTTTCCTCGATGCAGGTGCCTTCATCTGCAAGATGGTGCCATTTGTCCAGTCCACTGCCGTTGTGTCAGAAATCCTCACTATGGCTTGCATTGCTGTTGAGAGGCACCAAGGACTCGTCCATCCCTTTAAAATGAAGCGACAGTACACCAACAGAAGGGCTTTCACAATCTTGGGTATGTGAGTCACTTTTTGTCGCTTGTCAAAATATCTGATAGTAAAAGCGTAGAAGCGGAAGGATTTGCTTTTGCAATGTGTCTTCAGAGATTCCAGCCCATGGCCACTTGGCTGTTACTTCTGGGCCTTCGGGCAGGAAAGCAGAACAGCATGACATGAACGTGTGGTAGAGCAGTGGTTCACCTCGTAGCAGACCACAAGGATGCGGACAGAAACAGCCTGGGGCAGGTTATATGCCAGTAACCTACTTCTTCCAATCAGGCCCTTCCTCCTGGTTGCCCACTCATCTACGGGCTCACCAGTGGATTTGCTCATTCGTAAAGTTAGCACCTTCATGATCCAATAATCTCTCCCAAAGTCCATTAACTAGCAGTCAAGTCCTTTGAAACTTTGGAGGACATTTAATACTCAAGTTGTACCATTAGGTAGGGCCACCAGTGTGCTAGCTACAGTGTTAACGCAATTCTTCATTATAGAATAATATCGTATTTGTATTTGTACAGTTGAAGGTTTTCTCCTTTATGTGTAAGCATGCCTGCATAATTTGAGGGGTTTGGTACTCTCTGCATTTACCCCACACCATCTCTCCTTCAGGCCTACCCTAATATTGAAAATGTTATTGTGGATATATTTCTTTGGTTTTAAGTCCTCAACTTTTAAGCATTCCATTTAGCTAATGAATGACAGCCGTGAGTGGCATTTCCGCATTAGCATTTGTTGACCTGAGATGAGAAGGTTCTGAATGTACAAGAGCAAGAAGCTTTCAATATGGGACAGGAAACATGCTTTGAAGGAAGCAGGGCACAGTTGTACAGAGATAGCTCCCAAACAGTTCACGAGGAAGCTGCAAGGACCTGAAAATGGAGTAGAGTCCTTCAGACGCCCGATAAAGATACATTCCACTCTCTTCACCTCACTTCAGGCAACTCTAGGTTCTTCGCTTTCTGTAACTGTCCCTGACCCAGTAAGACATGATGAATACAACGCATTCCATAAAAAAGCTGAATTTGAAACAATGGTCTAAAGTCTAGCGTGGTGATAGTACTTAACAATGTTAAGATGTTTTACAATGGTCTGAATTAATAATAATCAGATGCACAGTGGACAGCTATCGGATCCTGAAAGGTAGCAAATTTAACTTATATAGCGTATGAAATAAATAAGCACACAGTATTGTATCATAAAGAACACTGAAGGTAGAGAGCCTGTACAGTTAAGCATGGCTCTGTTTTACCGCATTATGATGACAATCACATTTTTACAGGTGTGGTCTGGTTGGTGGCCATCATCGTAGGATCACCCATGTGGCACGTGCAGCGACTTGAGGTAGATTCGGGACTGAATTACTGTTTATACTACTGAAATACTTCTCCACATCTCTCATCTATAGCCATTACCCATCTGACCATTTCAGCAAGTCTGCACTAGCTCAGTTCCTTCACTGGAAATCTTTCAAGTGAAATAAAATCATTTTTCTGTTTTATTCATTTCTTATAGATATTGTATTGACAAGACATTGACGCTTAGCATTTTTAAAAAATGTTTCAAGGTCACTTTCTCCATTTTCCTATAAGTTGAACATTCTTTGTAGAGTGCTTCAATGTCTTACTATAATTGATAATTAATGAGTGTTCTATATTTTTATTGAAAAATAGATTTTTTTGCCTACAATATACTCTGATTACTTTTCCCTCCCTCTATTCCTGCCAGTTTACCCCCAGTGCCCCTCCCATCTGGATCCACCTCCTTTATGTTTCTCACTTGAAAACAAATAGGCATCTAGGGAATAATAATAAAATATAATGGGATAGAACAAAAACAAATTGAAATAGGACAAAACAAACAAACAGAAAGAGTCCAAGAAAAAGGTACAAGAAACAGACTCAGAGTCCCCACTTGTTTGCCCACTCGGGAATCCCATAAAACATAAAACCAGAAGCCATAATATATACACAAAACCTGAAGGGTAAAAAAAAGTGAGTTAATTAAAATTAATTAAAAAAAAAAACTCTGACAGGACACTATGAAACGAGTAACCTCCAAATATGCTGCTGAATTAGTTTTCTACTGGTCAACAGGTAGTGGCCACACCGTCTATCCTTAAGTTTCCCCAGGGAGACTACCTTGGAGGAAACTAGTTTTTCTTTTACAGACAGTTATCAATCTGAGATAGTTCCTGGGTTGTGGATGAGTCACATGTCCACTTCTCCTTTCAGCTCTAGGACGCCATCTGGTACAGACCCATACAGGCCCTGTGCATGTGCCTCAGTCTCCGTGAGTTTATATGTGTGTCGGTCCTGCTGTGCCTAGAAGACCTTTTTGCTTTGCTGTCCTCTGTTCCTTCTGGCTCTTACATTCTTTCTGCATCCTCTTCCATAGGGTTCTCTAAGCCCTGAGGGGAAGAATTTGATGGAGGCATTCTGACTACGGCTGAGTGTTTTGAGGTCTCTCACTGTCTGTGTAATGTCTTCCTGTGGGTTTCTGTATTTGTTCACATCTGATAAAGGAGGAAGCTTCTCTGATGATGGCTAAGCCATGCACTGATCTGTGTGTATAGCAGAATATCACTGAGAGGTGTTTTATGACTGTGTTCCTTTTGTAGAAGAGCAGTATTTGACTTTCTCCTAGGTCTCTGGGCTATCTGGTCTCAGGTTCTTGGTTACCCAAATAGCATTGGGTAGGCGTTCTGTTTCATGCAGTGGGCCTTCAATCAAAGCAGACATTGGTTGGTTACTCCTAGAAGCTTTGTGCCACCATTGCCCTAGTGTTCCTTGCAGGCAGACCACCATTGTAGATCAAAGAGCAGTGTGAAGAGTACCTTCTGGTACCAAGAGCACTGGCCAGTAGAGGTGAAGGCTCTAGGCAGGCACCAGCTCAACTTTTCTGTGTGCAATGAATTGTGCATGTATTTGGAGCAATACAGAGTTGCTGTCGAATTGTGGAGAGAAATCTACAGCCTGGCTCCTTTGAGGGTTCCCTGGCACTCCTTTGGCCAACAGCGCAATTAGATATAACCCCTTTCTTGGTACTAGAAGGCCCATTTGGTAATGAAAGATGTTCATTTGGGGCTTTCTCTCCAGCTATTTGGTGATTTCATTTAGATTACCTTCATATATATATATATATATATATATATATATATATATATGTTAAGGAGATTCTACTGTATTAAGTTTCCACACAACTCCTCAAGTGGCCCTTAATTTTCACTGTCCTTCCCCCATAGTCCTTCCCTCACGTGCCTCTTCCCTCCCACTACCCATTTGATCATCCTGCCCATCCATAACTATCTAGTTCAGTGGTTCTCAACCTTCCTAATGCTGCAATCCTTTAAAACAGTTCCTCGTGTTGTGGTGATCCTAATCCTAAAATTATTTCATTGCTACTTCATAACTGTAATTTTGCAACTGTTATGAATCATAATGTAAACATCTGATATGCAGCCCCTGTTGGGGTGACAACCCACAGATTGAGAACTGCTGACCTATTTCCCCTCCCTTCTTTATATTATTTTTTCGTTGTTATCTCATGCAAAAAATGTAATAGATTAGTTGATTCTCCTTCATAAGCCCTTTCTTGCCTGCTTCACCTTCATTGGTAAATTGAAATTTGAGTAGGACACACACTCACAGAGCATCTTATGAAATGTCTCCTCTTTTCCTGCCTTTGTCTGATGGGTTCAGTCATGTCTGAGGATTCACAGGAAGAAATCTGGGTGTTTGTTTGGCCCAACCTGTCCATTGGTGTGAACTTGAACATCTTTTGTCATCTAACACAGACATCAGTCTTCAAAGACACAGGGCATTGCTCACATAGCCCCTTAAAAATGATATATTCTTGTCTACTTTTTAGAACAGAAAGGCAAATATAGAATTTTACTAGGCATGCCACATCCCTCAGTAAGGATGTCCCAACCTGCCACACCACTTCTGCTGCCATCCCGTTACTTAAAGGTCACCACTCCCTTTCCACACAGAAACCGTATAGCATCTGTTATAAAATTCCCAGTTCACTGCCTTAGTCATGTAAGTTCATAAAATCAACCCCTCGGCTTTAATTGACATTGGGCGTAGAAATGTGAAGGGCCATGCCTGCCTTCCGGGTGTCTTTGCCCCTCTGTGTCTGTTGAGCCTCTGTCTCCAACAAGCCGGTGAGGAGAACGAGTAGAAGAAGGAAGAGATGTGGTATGGGTGTGACTGTGACTCATGACTATTGCTTTTCTTCTGGGTTTTCCCAAAGACGTGCAAGCCTTCTGGCTGCTTCTCCACCCCTCAGCTCTTGTGCACACCATAAACGTGGCTTTTGTACTGAGGCCACCTTCCCCACTGGCAGGGTGTAGAGTGATGGCATCATTCACAAATGGCACGTTCCAATCATGGAGTCTACTTCTGGACCACAGAAAACAAATAGATATGGTAATTTTTAAAAATAAATTATTCCATGGCACAGTTTAAATATACCTTAAATACTTGACTTGTTCACTTGGTAGAAAATGTATATTGTACAATATAATTGACAAAACTGTGCTCACTATCCCGTCAGCCAAGTCACATTTGCTTCTTGTCTTGTATTACCATTTATTCCATGGTCACCTCATTCCTAAATGCTATTTATTACTCTAACGAGAGTGATGCAAGTACATAGAAGCCTTAATTCTTCACTCGGACGATGGAACGCTCTGTCATTGGTTTCTCACCAAGCTCTTGCTACCCAGTTCTCTCAGCTGTAGCTTATGTCTCTGTTTTCAGGGAATGGAGTAAAGAAGTAATTAAATGAACACTGTCGCCACTTACGTCCCCTCCCAGAACTTATCAAAATACAATTTTCCTCCACTACCAGGCCTTACACTAAATACAAATATATTTAACACTTGGCAAAGCAGAAGACCTCTCCATGGGTTGGTGACACCTAATCAAGGCAGCACTTCCCTAGTATCAGTAATGAATTGTCTCCTTCCTTGATGCTCATGGTAAGATTTGTGTTGGGGACAGATGTCATTCATAAATTAGAGTAAGGATGATGGTGAAAATAGAAGTGGGACTATAGACCAAAAATAGCTTCTCAGCCCTGAATGCTACCTTAAACAGTAAACTTTTAGAAAGATGTATGGTTAGAAATGGAGGCTGTAGGGCTGGGAATGTAACACACACATAGTGGTGGAAGAGAGACTATCTGAATTAGAGTGCACTTAGAGATTTGCTTGTCCCTGGAGTTACGGGAGCGCATCAGAGACTAGCGCGGAGCTTTAAGCTTTGCTACACCATGACTATGGTCATTGCAGGGCCTGCATCTATAATGTCAGAATAGGTTATGTTTTTACCTCCATTCATGAGAAGTTCAGATCTTGAAATCGTTTTTCAGTGGTTTCTATCATTCTGGTTTTGTTTGTCAGTAGCACTTGAATTTTCTTGTTTTGTCAATTGTTTCTGAAGATTGTGATGAAGTTTTCACATAAGCATATAAACATAAGCAAAACAATGTCCCAAACCTATGTATCGACCTGAAAAGATCCAGCATGCTTAGAGAGTATCCCTGATAAGTACTCACATTTCCATCCCTGCTACCTAGAGATGTGACTTCTGACTGTGCTCAAAGGGTCCAGTTCAGTCTAGAAATGAGCCACACCACGTCCTGCTGTTGTTAATAGTGTCTGACCTTAAAGATGAGTCTGCTAGAACTAGTTTGAATAAATCAGCTAACAAAGACCATTTGGATTATTTTGGGTTGGCAGTAGTTTGAATCTCGTTTTCCATTTGCCTTAATTTAAAAGCTACAAGTTGTCTTTTCAATGCCTATTTTAGCATCTCTTACTTTAAGGAAGTCTGGTGACTCTCCAAGTCAGTTTCCTCAACAAATGAGAAAGCAAAATATATTCGTCTAATTAATATCAAAGCAAACAGCAGATAGCATATAGTATTCGCAATAGACAGTGTGCTACGTGTGTTCTTTTAGCTTACTGAATAGTGGTGAGAAACAGAAATAAAAGTTGAGAAAGGCAAGAAATGAAAGAAACATACTCAATTCCATTTCAAATCTAAAGGCACAAAAACCTAAGCAGATCAAGTGGAAAATCTATATTTTTTACTACAAAATAACAATGAAACACTAATTCACATTTGCAAAAGTATCAGTGATAAATTTGTAAAGTCTTTAAAATGATGCTCTGCGATGACACTTGGCTGCTTCTGATGTTGACGTTGGTTCTTTCAATTGAATTATCCTCACTATAAAGATTAAGTATGACTTCCTATATGAAAAAGAGCATGTCTGCTGCTTGGAAGAATGGGCCAGCCCCGTGCACCAGAAAATCTACACCTCCTTCATTCTTGTCATCCTCTTCCTCCTGCCTCTGGTGGTGATGCTCGCCCTCTACAGTAAGATCGGCTATGAACTCTGGATCAAGAAGAGAGTTGGAGACAGCTCCGTGCTTCAAACTATTCATGGAAAAGAAATGTCCAAAATAGCCAGGTCTGTCTGATTAAACGCTCACCTCTGTTTAAAATTGTCAATTCGTTGTGCTAGAAGGGACAGTTGTCATGGACGCCAGAACTCTTGGGTAATTTAGCCAAAGTAATCTAAGTTGAGAGTATTTAAACCCCTGAAACTGTGTCATTTAATATGTGTCAGAAAGATAGATCAAAATCATTAGTTCTTAAATCAAAGTGAAGTTGGAAGTATGAAGACAATTTACAGCATGGTTGCGTTTCTATCTGTATAAAAATATAATTTGCAGAAAAAGTATGAATTGGTATCAGGGCTGTCTGGTCCTGGGGGGCTCTGCTCTCTGTCACCTTGCTATTCGTGTGACACAGATTGGCATTTTTGCTCCCCTCCTCCATTTCCTCATATATACAAGGTTGTATAATAACATCCATCCTTGCCTCCTACCACTCAAAGATGGTGCTAACATACATGAGATGGCATGAATAAAAATGTTTAAACCACAGCATAATACTCATGTTAAGTGGTTACTGTTAAAATTTGATTTCGACATAAAAGCTTTCTTGTCTTATTCACTAGTATCCATTTTAAAACACTGTGATGCTGCACACACTTTATATCTGTACTGAATGAGCATTCAAATGAAAACAAGAGAGGCCTCTGGTGCAGACTTTAGGGAATTGATGGGATGTAGTTAAATCTCGATGTACAGTGCCCTCTAGTGCCCGGTTTGTATAAAGACAGGCCTCTCTGAATACAGGAGGGTCTCAGGACTTCAGCACCTTGGGAATTTTTATTGAATTAATTATACCCTTTCCTCAGAAGAAAGAGATACTGGAGTTGAAAGGAGAGGAGCAAGTATGAACTTTTAAAATATAAAGAAGATATATAGTCCTAGTGCTGATATAAATCTACCTTGTAAGAAAAGCAAAGAAGAAATGAGTTTGAATTCCTAGTAAACCAGGGTTTTAATCCTATCCTTGCAGTTTACTGTATTTTACAAATATTGATATTTTACTATTAAAGACAATAATGATTTTCAATACACAGTGAATTGAAACTCACTCACTGAACTTTAGATTCCTAAATTCAAACCCACTGATTTCCTTGAATATTAATGATATAAACCATGTCAGTAACCTAGAAAAATGTCAGACCCGCAGTGAGCACACATCCTGAGCATGTTTATTACATAAAGACCATGAAGACAAGGGTGAAACAAACAGGAAGGGCAATAATCTACCTGCAGTTGTGTTTGAGTGGCCTGAGATCAACTTTTATTTCAGTCTTGCTGTTTTGACAGAGAAAACTGAACCAGCGCAATGCTTTCTTGTGGGTCTAGGAAGAAGAAGCGGGCTGTGGCTATGATGGTGACAGTGGTGGCTCTCTTTGCTGCGTGCTGGGCACCTTTCCATGTCGTTCACATGATGGTTGAGTACAGTGAGTACTTAGCATTCTCATTTGATGACTCTCTGGTCCATTTCCTGCTAGAATAGGCAGGAATGACTGTAAAAACTGTTGCTATTTGCTGCCTTAATCAAATCCCAAGCCTTGAGTCTGGTTCTTTTCCATTACAAGAGCTCTCGCTCCCGGTGTGGTGGGTGATGATGTGTGACAGGAAGTGCACTTTAGTAGCTGTACACAATAAACAAAAGCTTCCCGATTCATAAATTACTCCTAAGGAGGGTGATGTGGCGTCTTATGAACCATGCCCTTTTACAATCTCAACTCACACTGTGCTAATTTAATAATACCTGGGATTTTAGCCGGCAACAGAACCTCAAGATAGCCTCCCGATGAGCAGGGATTCGCCGGGCTCTCAGTGCGACTACTTTCTGCAATGCAAGGGAATGTTTGAAGGGCAACTCCTGCTTCTAGTGCGCATGACGCTTGAATTATTTAGTGAAAGCACAGTGAGCCCAGTAGCATGTGCTGGACGCCGCCAGCCTGTGTGCGTAAGAATGCTCATCACGAAGGTCATTTGTTCCCAGATAATAAGATTCCTCTCCCACAGTGGGCTTCAGAAATGTGCATGCCTTTTGTCTCTGACAAAAATCAGATGGCAAACAGTTTCTAATTTTCTTTAAAAAGTCAATGCACATTCTAAAGTGTGATTCTATTTCAGGTGATTTTGAAGAAGAATACGATGATGTCACAATCAAGATGGTTTTTGCTGTAGTACAAATAACTGGGTTTTTCAACTCCATCTGTAATCCCATCGTGTATGCGTTTATGAATGAAAACTTCAAAAGGAACTTTTTGTCTGCAGTCTGTTATTGCATAGTAAAAGAGAGGTTTTCTCCAGCGCGGAAGCACGGAAACTCAGGAATTTGGATGACACAGAAGAGACCCACGTTATCACGACAGCAGCGTCCAGGAGAGGAAACCAAGGGAGATGCATTCGTTGACACCAGCATTGAAGTCAAACTCTGTGAGCAGATGGGAGAGAAAAGGCAGCTCAAGCGACAACTTGCTTTCTTTAGTTCTGAACTTTGTGAAAACTCAATAGTAGGCAGTGGACATGAATTGTAATGGTATCTTCATAATTAGGATCGTTTGTATGAAAAGCTATTTTGAGCAAAGGTCAAAGACTGTTTCTTAAATGATGACAAGAAGGGAAACAAGGTATGTTTTCCATTTAAACTGACATAATAAATGGAACTATAACTTTGAAAAATTACTAAAGCAGCTTTGTAGATTATTAGAGTAGATTTATTAGAGACATCATACATAAAGCAATGACGTTGGCAGCAGCTTTTATCCATGTAGTCAATGTAATGTGACTTTCTGTGTATTGCTAAACTGGGGGGAAATTATTCAAATTATATCATCATCTTTGCCTATTGAACAGCTGAATACCATAATGTAATTTATAGCATACTGTCGAAGTTGGGGTAAAAAAAAAACTTTGCAATTGACGTTTTGCCATAATAATAGTCAAAGAAGATGGAAGAATCAGGCCAATGACAATAAAACTTAACAGACAGATGCCACACTCCTGTGAGCTGCCATCTCTGCGGGGACAATCACCTCATCTTCTCACGTCTCTGCCTGCTCCTGTATGGATGGAGAGTTACCCTCGCTTACTTGGTAGAGAAGTGAAACAAACTGACTGGAAAGGGAGGCACTTTTCACTCTCCAGTGGTGACCTCCAAGGCCCAGCCCTGCTCCTTCTCTTTAGCTCTCCTTTTCTTCTCTGCTTCCCTTTCTGAGATTTCTTCCAGCTCTGCTTCTCTTCAAAAGAAAGGCTGGGTAGCCTCATTTATTGAGTAGATAGATAGATAGATAGATAGATAGATAGATAGATAGATAGATAGATAGACAGACAGATAGATAGTCAGATATTTATCTCTTTTGGCACTTTATTTTCTCTCACTAGTGAGATGAAGGATTTTTTAAAAGACTTTCTCAGTAGTAGACTAATGATGAAGGCTTGAGGCATCCCAAGCCTGTGAAATATTGCTGTGTCCAAGACTAACCTCCAAGAGGCTGGTCAGGAAGAACAGAGCTCCCCGCTAGCTCAGCCCCTCACTGCTGTGTCCCATGTGTCAGAACTCCAACTGCCACTATCAGCCCTCAGTTGCCTTCCCAGCAGATGAGATGCTCAAAGCCCGACCACAGCCTCGCTGCCTAAATGTTTCTTCTGCCTCTGGTTTTCAATTACTCATTTCCCATCTGAAGAACTCAAAATATTTTATGATCTAAGCTTTAAGATTTGGAAATCAAAGAGCACAAATGTCTTGAGTTTTCTTAGCTACAGGCATTTTATTTCACGTGCGTCAATGGCGGGCTATTGAAAAGGAGAGAGGTGAAACAGAGTGTAGGATAAGAAAGACAAATCACATGACACAGGAAATTAGCAAAGTAAAGGAAGGGAAACTTATTTGTTTTTTATGGATCACTTTTGTAAACTGTCATAATTCTTTTTGTCCAGTTACAATGATCACTACACTAATGAATCCTCAAAAATGAACCTGATGTGCTGATTTTTGTTATCTTAACTGCTAAATATTCATATGACTTCAGCTATGACAAGGAAAAGTTGTATTGTTATGTATTTATCCATAAATAAATAATAAACTCAAAGTAGAAAGCCAGCCCTGATGACTCCTAACCGAAGAATGACCACATGGACAATGTTACATCAATGTGCTCTATATTTTCAAGGAGCATTGATGGTTGCATGTGATCAGTAAAGTAATTTTAGTAACAGGAAACCACACATTCAAGAAATTATAGTGTGTGTGTGTGTGTGTGTGTGTGTGTGTGTGTGTGTGTGTGTTTGTGTTGGGGGTGCCCACATGCCCGTGTACCGTGTGCATGCCTGGTATCCATGGAAGCGAGCATCAGATCTCCTGAAACAGGAATACAGACAGTTATGAGCTGCCATGTGGATGCTGGGAATAGAACCGCTACATGGGTACTGGAAATAGTACCGGGGTCCTCTGGAAGAGCAGCCAGTACTCCTGATCACTAAGTCATTCTTTCTAATGCTTAATTTGATCTTTAAGACTGACAAGACTATAAAATTCCTCTATTTGACATTCCATTAGGAGTTATTTTTGTATCTTAAATTTACAAAATTAATCTTCCAAAAGTTTTGTTTTATTGCCCAAAGTTTAACACGTTGCCAATTAACCCCACTATCGATAAGAATAGCAAATTCTTCAAATAAAATGGTGAGAAGTTACTGCTGTGAGTAAAAATTGAGGGGAAAGGGTTGCTGTTTTTCAGGTGTAGTATTTGGGGTTTTATGGAGTATTTTTTAAAGGACAATGGGATACTATCATTTATCCAGCTATTATTTTTTTAAATTTTATTCTTTAGATTATAATATAGTTGCAGCATCTCTCCCTTCCCTTTCCTCCCACCAAGCCCTCCCATGTACCCTTCCCATTCTCCATCAAATCCATGGCTGCTTTTTTCACTAAATGTTATTGTATGCATACGTGTATATGTACATACACATACATTCCTAAATATAGCCTGCTCAGTCTGTAGAATGTTACTTGTGTATATGTTTTCAGGGCTGTTTGGCACTCCGTAACCAATCTAACTATTTTTCTGCCCTCTGCAATGTTACCTGAGCCTAAGGTGTTAGTGTCTAACCATTTTTGAAGATCCTGCAATGTGTCAATCCTAGATACCTTTCCCTTCCCAAATTGAGAACACTTTCCTCTAAACCAGAAAATACTGATTGATTGCTTTTAGGTTGACTGACCAATGAAATAACAGAGAAAACTCAGTTGGTGGCGCATGCCTTTAATCTCAGCACTCTGGAGGCAGAGGCAGGTGAATCCCTGTGAGTTCGAGACCAGCCTGGTCTACCGAGCAAGTTCCAGGACAGGCTCCAAAACAATACAGAGAAACCCTGCCTTGAAAAAACAAAAAAAAATCAGGCAAACCTATAAGTTTTAGACTTAAACATATCTCTATCAACTTAGGCATCAGGCATGAAGCATTCTTTTCTCTTACTTGACAAAAATCTTATATTCCAAACATGTGAAGATGGGGGGTTCTGGCTATTTATTATCTAGACCAATTAAGAACTCCATTTACAAGTCAGGTCTGAGGCAAAACTTGGGAATCTATCTATGTGCTTGACTCATCATTCCAAGAACTTGGTTGTTGCTGTAATGATAAATGGCACACTTGTTGAGGGTATAGGTAACTGTTTATTGTAGAAATTACTTACAAGAGACACCGGGCAACCCAGATGTGTTAAGCCTTTCGCTACCGAATCGGAAGTCGAAAAGAGAGTGAGCACATCTCTGCCGCAGTCTTTTATGCCCACCTCTGCACACGCCAGGCTAGCAGTGTAGTTTACCGCCTATATCCGTATGCATCTCAAGTCACACCCAAAGCGGGTGTGTTTATTACTACATCCGTATGAGCCTCTAGTGCGCCACGTGGCTAATGGCGGAGTCCTAAATCTCCTCCTACACTTGGTACGTTTTAGAAAGACAATTTTTTAGGGAAGGAAGAAGAAAATTGATGCTAGTGGCAGAAAGAACCTGGGAAATAACACATTTACAGGGCTTATAATTGAATTTTATAAGCACAGTCTTAATAAAATTGGAAATGAATAAAAGAATGGGCACAGATAGAAGTGGAAATTTGCATTTAAAACTGTAGAATCAGGGTTTGGAGAGATGGCTCAGCAGTTGAGAGCCCTGTAACCCTCTAGTGGATGACCCAGGTTTAGTTCCCAGCACCAGTATCAGTCAGCCAACAATTCCAAGAGTCTAACTTCATCAGCTACCCATGTGAATGTTGTGCACACAAACTCACACAGGTGCATGCACACACACTGATAATAAATAAATACTACAGAATTTAAACCCCCTTGTTGACTTCTAATGGAAACATAAGTAATACTTCTGTCTCTATCATAAAGCTCCTGTCATCAGGTCATGAAAGTAGTGTCATGCTTACACACTAATGACATCTGGAAAGGGTCAGGGCAGATATACTTTTGACAAAATGTAATGATTTTTGTGCTAGCTTGATTCTTATGAACTTCATGGAGTAAATAAACCTCACTGAAGGGACTGAAAAGAGACGACTCATGTTTGGATTTCAGAGAACCGGTGCTGAGGTGGGGGCTACCTAGTTCATAGAGTGTGTCTGATAAGGTCAACAAGTTCTCAGGCAAGAAAGTGATGAATGGCACCTATGCGTGTGATACGTTACCTGTTTTCAGATACAGTGACATGGTGGCCAGGCCTCCAGACCTGAGAAAAAATCTGAGTTGTCAGCAACATTCAGTCCAACCATGCCTGGGGAACCAGGTAAAGAAGACAAATGTAGACTGCACTGTTGTTCAACACTCCATATCAAACCCTATCTTCAACTCCACAGAAATCCCCAGGGTTCCCTGGAGAACTCTGCAGAGAAGAATCAATGGCTTCTTAGCCCTGTCTGAACAGTGTGAGTGACGACCACTCAAAGTGAATTTGCTCCGCTTGGATGTGAGTTAAACACCTGGAGAGTTCTGCATGGGGAGGTCTCTTCAGAGAGCATGCGCCACAGCTGACCCCACCCGCCCTTGTAGGAGGCACCCTCCTCTACCAGTGTTACTCAAGTATGGGGAGCTCTCTGACAGTTTTGTGGTTATAGTACATCTTCCCTGGTTAGCAGGCAGCAAGCCTGGGTAGAAATGCCGCACACCAGACTGGAGAATTAACCTGTCTGATGACAATTCATTGTGTCTAAGAAACAAGTATTTTATTGAGCTGGCGTTTGTTTTATTCTCTCCTTTTATTCAATTCACTGCGTATCTTGACATCTGTCCATGCCACTGAACAGACATTCATGCCAGCTTTTCATTCCCAGACCAATAATTTATTATGAGATCATGTAATCAACAGATTGGTTCCTTATTGTCTTCATTGTCTGTTTAAAAAGCAATATTGCCTTGGACACTCCTGACCTGTGCCCTTTTCTCTTGACCTGTTTATGTCTTTACAAAAATTCCTGGAAGCTGAATTTCTTGGTCAGTGAGGGCACCCTAAGGAGATGCTGAGAATCCGTGACAGACCTCAGCTCATCTGCCTGGCTGTATGTTGCAGAAAAGAATTGTGTATGTCCTAAGCAGAAGCCCTGGCCCTGCTGTCGGCAGCTGCCAACCTTGTCTGTGACGATTTTCTTACCACAAGACCTTCCATTTTGGAGATCATAATAATAGTCATACCTGGGAAATGTAAGTAGAGGGATTGCGGGGAAAGGTCTTTATGGAGATAGGAAAAAGGCATTTGGAGGAGCAGCAAAGGGAACTGGTACACAGTGATCTAGTATCTGAAGGCCTTTGCACCACCATCTTGGGCTCATTAGAGCCCCGGAAATCCTCAGGCCCAGAAGAAGAGGCAGAGGAGGAGACCCGGCCTCCGAGGGAGCCTCAAATCAGAGCATGTGCTGTCAGTAGCAAGAGTAGGGTGGGGGACAAGTGCCTGTCACAGGAACCCCCAGCCTAGCACTTCCAAATACAGAGTAGCAACAGAGACAACTATACATTAGACCAGAGGTTCTCAACCTGTGGGTCATGTCCCTTTTGCCAATCCTTTATATCTGAAAATATTCTTAACAATGACAAAATTACAGTTATGAAGTAGCAATGAAAATGAAGTCACCACAACATGAGGAACTGTTTTAAAGGGTCACAGCATTAGGAAGGATGAGAACCACTGCTTTAAGCTGATACAGGGGGAATTACCACTCAGCCCTCCCGGAACAGCCCAAGCTTGGCTTCCATTCTTTCCAGTGTCCAGCTGGTAAAAAGACGACTATGGAAGAGCAGGCTATTGTCAGAGGCTGAGCGAGGCCCACGGTTCTGAGCAGAAAGCAGAGAAGTGAGCATCCAACAGCACTTCAGCTGATTTAGTTAATCATGCTCCTCTTTTTAAGTCTAGGACTGCAAACTTTAAACTCGTGCTGACCACACGGAGGGTGGGTCTCGTCCCGTTAGTTCTCTCTGGAAACACCCTCACAGACACACTCAAAGGTGTGATTCAGCCGGGTGTAATAAATCACGCCTTTAATCCCATCACTGCGGAGGCAGAGGCAGGCGGATCTCTGAGGTCAAGGCAGCCTGGTCTATAAAGCAAGTTCTAGGACAGCAGGTTTGTTGCACAGAGAAACCCTGTCTCGAAAAAACAAAAACAAAGACAACAAAAAAAGATACTCTTCACCAATGCCTAGACATTTCATAATGGAATCATTAGAAATTAACCATCCACCATGAAAAGATGGGGCTCTGTCCCCACCCCCACCCCCACCCCCTTCCTATGCTCGTTTGGGCATTTTTTCTTCTACTATTAAAAGAGGCATCATCTTGGCTGCTCTGAATTGTGCAAAGCTCAGAGTGGAGACTAGAAAAGATGAGAAGGATGAAGTGTGTAGCTTTGGGCTTCCTGGGTTCCAGGAAGGCAAAGGGTCAGTAACCAGCTACACAATTCTCTTCTTGCTCTTCCGTTTCCTCATTACCCCACTGGTCCTAGGAGGCTGACAGCTGAAGCCAGAGCTGCCAGTCCAAGTCATACGCAACCACTTTGCAGTGACTCTGACCTATGAAGGCCTTGTGTCCACCCGACTCTTGTGGGCGGCTGCCGGGGAGTCAGCTGTGGTGTGGAGAGACTGGAAGATAATACCAGAGCACACATGTGTTATTTCCTTAGAAGTACCCCCACCAAAGCACTGCAGACTGAGTGGCTTAGTACCCCAGGGTTTGTTGGATCATGGCTCTGAAGTCCAGCTCCCTGGAACTGGAGAGTCCCTGGAGTTTTGCTTCCTGTGTGCGTACCAGGGAAGAAATCTGATCCGGGCCTTACTTCAGCATCCATAACTTAAGTGGCTCGTAGCAACCAATCTCTCATCTCCATACAGAGGGTTTCCTGTGTGCTTATCTGAATGCTCCTTTTTAAAATATTTGGGACTGAAAAGATAGCTCAATGATCAAGAGTACTGGATGCTCTTCCAGAGGACTCAGGTTCAATTCTCAACACTTACATGAAGCCTCACAACCATCCAAAACTCCAGTTCCAGAGGATCTGACACCTTCTTGTGGCCTCTGTGGGCACCAGACATGCACATAGTACATCTACATACATGCAGGCAAAACACTCATACACATAAAATAAAGATAAATACATATTGTTTAAAATTATATATTTATTTAGTTTTACAAGTCAGAATACAACTTGTGAGAGTCAGTTCTTACCTTCCACCCTGTAGGTCTCTGGAATTGAACTCATATAGTTAGGCTTGGCAGCAGGCGCCTTTACTCACTATGGCACCTTTTCCAAGGACACAGGCTATGTAGAACTTCCTCTATAATCTTTACACATTTTCCATTTACATAATGAACAATATTTTAGGGAATTTTTGCATAATTCATAAAGTTTATGTCTATGTTCATCTTTCCATTTGGATTCAACATGGTTCACTTTTTTCTATATTTATTTATTTTCTCTATTTATTCTGTAGCCACTTGTGGAGCAAACTGTTCTCTCCATTAAACTGAGTTTGTCCCTTTTTCGGATCCCTGGGTATGCAGGCTGGCGCCTTTCAGTGACAGAAGGACTGGTGGTACTTCACTCCTGTGATGATCCTTGTGATGCCAGCCCTCCAGCCAGAAGGAGGTCATGGGCTGAGGTCGTTGTTCTCTTGGCCTTGCTCTTTCTGTCCGAGTACTCAGGACAGATGCTGGCAAGCTTTCTCCTGGTGTGTCTTATACATGGACCCCTCTCAATGCCTTACACTGTTCCTCCTTCTCCAAGTCCTTGGCTCAGTCTTGATTTCCACATTGCAGGACACTGCATTTCTGACTGCTTAAATAAATTATTATTTATTAACTTTAAGTTATTTAAAACATTTCTATTCCTTAATGGAGGCATTTATTGTTACAAATTTCCTTCATTGTGGCTTTTGCTGTACACCACAGATTTGGGTATATTGTATTCTTAGTTTTTTGTTTAATGAAAAATTTCAGCATCTTTTTTGGCTTTCTGAATAACCCAGGTTGTTACAAACGAACAAAAAAAGTTCCCTAATCTCAATATATTTTAACACCCTCTAAGCTTTCTGAGTTAAGGTTTCTGTTGCTGCGATAGAACCCCACAACCAAAAACAACTGGGTGAGGAAGGGTTTTATTTCATCTTACAACTCTGAGGCCACTTTCCATCACCGAACAAAGTCAGGGCAGCAACTCAAGGCAGGAGCCTGAGGAGCTGCTGCAAAGACCATGGAGGAGTGCTACTGACTGCCTTGACCCCTGAGGCTTGCTCAGGCTGCTTCCTGATGTCACCCAGGGCCACCTGCTCAGAGGTGGCACCACCCACAGTGGGCTGAGACCTCCGATATTAATCATTAATCAAGAAAATGCCCCACAGGCTTGCCCACAGGCTAATCTGTAGGGACATTTTCTCAATCAAGGTTCCCTCTTCTCAAATGACTCCAGCTGATGTCAAATTGACAAAAAGACTAAGCAGAACAACTTAACACATAAACACATTACTGTTTAATTATCACCTTTCCTTGTTGCTCCTCCCAAGACTTGTCATTAATGAATATCACAATTGGAAACATTCCAATTTTAAGTCTCTCTGCCTTTAAAAACATTTCAACCACTTTTAAAGCTCATTCTCTCAAACTTCCAGGCCTCTCTAAAACAGCCACTTTTCCTACAAGTCCAAGTCTCTCTAAAATACCAAAGTTCCTGTAAGATATCTAAGGTCTAATAGCTGTCAGTTCCTGTAAAGTTTTAAAAAATGAGTTAAAATACGTTCTTGCTCCAAGAGGGAAGAAACAGGACACAGTTACAATCAGATCAAAGCCAACCCAAAGTCCAACAGTTTAGTCCTTGATGTCTGGGACTTATTCATGAACCCCTGGGCACGATCCTCTGGCCCCACCATTGGCAGTACACACAGCTTGTCTCTTAGGTTCAGACTGTCCTTGGCAGTTATTCTATAGTAGGGGCATTTCCAAAACGTTGGAATTTTCTATTTCAACTAAGCTGAACTTTCACCAATAGTTTTTCCTGTGCTCTCTCCAGGAACTTTAACCCTGTGGATGATGCCACGCCTCAGCTGTTCTCCATGCCCACTTCATATTTCAAAATTAGTACCATCTGGATAACTCTTAACCATTACCAAGCTCAGCTGACATGAGATGCAGCCTTGGCCCCCTCTGACTCACAGCCTGAATGTGCTCCCAGGTTTATGATCCTCAATGATGATGGGTTTTTTAATTCTTCTTTCATGTACTACATCCCAACTGTAGTTTTTCCTCTCTCCTCTCCTCCAAGCCTCACATCCTACATTTCCCCTCTCCCCCACTCCTCCACCGTTTCCTTTTATAAAAGGGTAAGCCTCCCAGGGACATCAACCAAACATGGCATAACAGTTACAATAAGACTAGGGACACGCCCCTCATATCAAGACTAGACAAGGCAACCCTTAGGAGGAAAGAGTCCCAAAATAAAGCGAAAGAGTCAGAGACAGCCCCTGCTCCCATTGTTAGGAATCCCACAAGAACACCAAACTATATAACTATAACATATAAAGAGAGGGCCCATACAGAATCCCTGATTGTCTCTGTGAGACCCTATGAGATTCTGTGGTCTGTGTTCTTATAGTGGTCCTTGATCCTTTGACTCCAACAACAATCCTCTCTCCCTCTTCTGCAGGATTCCCTAAGCCTCACCTAACATCTGGCTGTGGGTCTCTGAATCTGCTCCCATTAGTTGCTGAATGAAGCCTCTCTGATGACAAGTTTTCTAGACTAGAGTCTTTAAGTATAGCAGAATATCATTAGGGATCTCACAGCTGATTCTTCAGCCTCAGCTGGCCAACATCAATTGTCCCATCAAAGGTTTCAATTTAGTGGTTCTTTTTGTTTGTTTGTGTTGTATTTGTTGTTTTTTGATACGGGTTTCACTGTGTAATCCTGGCTATCCTGGAACTATGTAGGCCAGGCTGGCTTCAAACTCACAGGTCCTCCTGCCTCTGCCTCCTGAGTGCTGGGATTAAAAGCTTGTGCCACCACCACACAGCAACTTAAGTGGTTCTTAATATCACATGAATGGCCCTGATAGTCTTTTCTTCCCTCTAAAGTTTCACAAGCCAGACTTTCATAATTTTCACTGTTCTTAACATTCTTACCTCCCCAAAGACACATGGTTAGGTCTGTCACAGCAATACCCCACAACCCTGGCACCAATTTCTGTATTAATTGGGATATCTGTTGCCACAGTAAACACCATGAACAAAAGTCACTTGTTTAGGGGGCAGTATTTGGCTTACACTTAAACAATTAAATCCATCATGGAAACAAGTCAGGGACAGGAATTTGTTAGCCGACTTGAGGCAGGAAAAGTAGAGACCAGCTGTTTACTGGCTTGTCTCTACTGGCTTGCTCAGCCTGCTTTCTTAGAGCACCAAGGCCAACCCAAGGTGCTACCACCCACACTGAGCTGGGCCCTTCCCCATCAGTCGTCCATCAAGAACACGTCCAGAAGTTTTCACACAGGCCAATATGGAAGAGCAATTTTCTTAGTTGAAGTTCCCTCTTCCAAATGCCTCTAGCTTGTGTCAAATTTAAAACAAACAAAAACTAGCCAGTACAGCTTTTGTTAACTTATAGTTTCATTCTATTGTGGTCAGAACATACAAGAATTAAGGTTTGTTTGTAAATTCCTGTTAACAATGTATGACATGATGTATTGTCTCACTAATTGTCTGTTGTTAGGATTTTGAAACTTCTATTACTAAATTTGAGCCTATCTTTTTTAGTCTGGTCATGTATTTTATGAAGTTGGGTGCTTCACTATTACGTGCATGTTTTGATACAGGATGTTGCTATGTAGCTCAAGCTGGCCACAAATTCTTGGTTTTCTTTCAGTTTCCCAAATGCTGGAAATGTGCCACCAGGCTGGGCTATAAATGCATATAGATTTACAACCACTGCCCATCCTCGATTGATTCCCTAGGTCATGATATGGTGACCTTTTAAAGAAATCACATTTGGCAGATTTGTAGTTTAATGTGTGAATCTAAATAAATTCTCTACAGAATTATTTTCTTTTGTAAATTTCAAAGCAATGGGGACACCTGTCAATGCCAACTACGGATTTATTTAATAAAGCAGAGGCACGGAAGGTACTTTGATATAAATCTCATTGTTTATGGAGACCTGAAGTAATAACTAGCCTCAATTTGTTCAAGATGTTGTTGGGCAAGTATTCTCTCTAGTACAGCAGTTCTCAACCTGTGGGCCATCACCCTTTGGCAAGCCTCTATCTCCAAAAATATTTACAATATGTTTCATAAGAGTAGTAAAAATTAGTTATGAAGTAGCAACAAAAATAAGTTTATAGTTGGGGGCCACCACAACATGAACTGTATTAAAAGGTCACAGCACTGGGCAGGTTGAGAAACATTGCTCTAAAGGTCTCGCCTAAGTTGTAGACTTAACAAACCTCAAAGACAATCTGTGGGGAAATCTGCACATCCCTTGGAAATGTGTAAAGCCTGGGCTGCATGCAGAAAAACCTCTTTTGAGTCTTTAGAACATCTAAAGACAGAATTTACCTAGGTAGGCAAATGTGAGACTTCCCCTTCCCACCTCCCCAACCCTAATTTTGTATGCATCTGACAAGCACGATTGCATCTTGTTATCACCATGATAGATAGTTCAGATAGTTATTGGACTCCAGCTGCACGGACTTGTTAGTTCTCTGATGAAAAGATAGCAGGTGGTTCCCTCTACATACTTGGTTGCTTAGTGCTCTTTACCAAGGTTATTGAGAAGAATGGAAAATTTTCACTTATTCACAATGGATTTTGTTTTTCCTGCTGTTTGGTTTTAGATAAGGCAAAATTCACTAAAAGTTTAACTCTCAGGATACAATGTGGTTATTGTTTTCTCTCTTTTTTTAATCTCACATCTCTGGGGAAGGATTTAGCAAAATTCAAGTGAGCTGCAGTTGTCCCTTGTCAATGGGACTTGCTATTTCTCTACACTGGGAAGCGGTAGAAGCAGAAGGCCAAGGCAACTGGTACCTAAGCTTCCTTGACCTCAGTGAGAAGTTTCATGTTGGCCAAGCCCAGCTCTACAACCTGGAGCAGCTCCCTGACCTGAGGATATTTGTGGACACATCCTCTGTTCTCCTCACCCTGAACACCAAGCCCAGGGCCTGCTGTTGCTATTACCATGGTAACTTGGCTACCTACAAAATGGGGTCAGTAGGTAGAGTGAAGGACTATTGTGTGGTGCTCAGCAGTAATCACTGCTCTTGTGGGATAAGGTCTGGTCTGCCATCAGTACTTGGGAATCCTATGATGTGCCCCTGGCCCTCATCGCAGTCCACTTGGGGATGTATCAGGGTGGGTCTCTCATTTGACGGAGGTCTCTAGATGCCCATGACACCAAATTTAGCAGGCTTAGCATTTTCCATGATGTCATCTTGCCTTGAGATCTTATTTGTCCAGCTCAGGAACCAACCAGTTCCTCCTCTTCTCTGGAGACTTAATGCACCAACCCACTGAAGCAGCGCTTCTGGCTCTCCTGCCTGTCTTTTCATGGGCAAGATGGTCTGAGATCCAAGCGATCTCCAGCCTCAAGAGATCAGGCTCCACTTGGAAGCCCCTCAATTCAAGCTACCACCATCCAGATTGGAGTGAACTGCAGTCAGATTAAATCTAGAAATTTCAGGCCTTGTCACTGTAATGGAAACACAGTATTAACAATATGTACCTAAGGGGGATGGTGAGTAGACTGGAAGCTGCCACTCAGCAGGGCTACACCAAGACATAAGTCTAACAGTTTTGAAAACACACTATTTGGCAGCTTGCAGGGTCTAAAACAGTTCTGCGATCCCTGAGCATGATGCTTAGTCACTAGTGATATAACGGAAATTTGGCAGCTACCCCTGGGAAATAATTGTTACTTAAAATTCTTACCACAATTCTACATGGCAAGACTACTGTTCTTAGGTTCTTCCTAGTTAAAGCAGTGGTCCACCGTCCAAAGGGGGTGAAACTGGCTGTGTGCACATCTACATGAGGTTGAGATGGAGAAGCATGGCCAGGGCTAGGTGATCATTTGGTGTCTGAGACTTGCTGTTTCTAGCAGATTGGTTTGGTCACCACTTCCACGCTCAGAGATACATAGAGGGTATGTTCCCACTGTCTTCATATGTCCCATGCTCAGAGCCACACGGACAGTGACTCAGGTGCCTGTTGACACCTATCCACATTATCAGAAGACAGGAGTCTTGCATAAATAGCAGTATTGCAGTATCCCTTATCAGCACACACTGGTATACAGAGAACCCTATGGTAGACACTCTTAGCTAATTCTGACAGGCACACAAGGATCCGCCTCCATACTGCCAGTTACTTTATCTATCCGCAGAGAAGACAGTGTACTGTTCCCGCTTCCCACATGTGGCTACCTTGTGAAACAGCCCTGGGAAAGTGCTGCGTCCACGTCTGCCGCGCGGGAGATTTTACTTTTCATTCTCATTGCACTGCTTCCCCTCACTCTTTCCTCAAGTCTGATCTGGCAGTTTTCTTCCTATCTTCTTTTTCCCTCCCACCATTCACTTTCAAACTATTAGTTTTCCATTTCTTTAATCTAGCTTATTTTGCATCCCTTTTCTGTTGTTATTGGAAATGTAGCGTGTGCTGTTGTTTCATGCTATATTTGCATATTTGGTTTGGTTTTGTACTGTCATATCTCAGGTTTTCATGGATTGAGCCCTTACGAGAAGGCTGATTGCTAAGACTCTCGTGTAACAGTGGGAAAGGTATCTGTCTCAAAAAAGTAAACACAGTATGAAAAAGCAAGAAAAGTTACTCCACCAAAAGTCAATAACCCATAAATATTAAAATGTTAAGATAATGATGCAGATGAAATGCCTGACAAAATATTCTAAAGCCTATGGGAAGAAATGATCAATAACTTTAAAAGAAAAAAACTTTTAAAAATTAATCAGAACTTGGATGAGAAACTAAGCAAAGAGAAGAAATAAGATGCTCTGGGAAAAGATCTTGGAAAGCTTAAAAAAATGAACTCCACAGGAAGCTTCACCAATAGACTAGAGCAAGGCAAAGGACTATGAGGGACTGAGCACAAAGCTAATGAATTCTTGCATTCAGAGAGTAATAAAAATGTGAGATCATGGTCATACTATTCCAGACTTGTGGGACACAATTAAGAGACAAAATTTATGAATCTTTTGTATAGAAGAGGGTGCTGAAATACTGCCTAAAACACATAAAACCTATTTCATAAAGTAGCTGAAAATACCTCAAATCTAAAGAACTATATGGATATCCACCTCTCTCTGTAACATTCTAGTAAAATCCCATGAGCACCAAACAGAACACTGAAAGCTCCAAGAAAAGAAGCCTCTAGTTATTTACGAAGGAAAACTGGTCAAAACAATAGAATTCTCAGCAAAATCTCTAGGCCAAGGTAACAGGGAATGATGTTATTTCAAACCCTGAAAAAGAAAACAGCTACCAACCCACAGTAAAGCTTACAAGGAAACTATATTTTAAAATCAGTGGAGAAATAAAGCCTTCCAAGAAAACTGTAAACTAAAATAATCCTACACCATTAAGCCAGTATTGCAAATAGTATGTAAAGGAATCCTACACTAAGAAAATAATACATACAAAACTAAGAGCTTAAGAAGGAATAAATCTTAGTAAACAAATGATAATTAGGATAGAAACAGGGTCACAATGAAAGCATCAATATGCTATGATTAATTTGGAAGAAAATAATAGAGTATTCCAAACAACCAGAAAAAATAGAAATTAGTATGTATCTTTCAATAACAAACCTAAATGTAAACAGTGTTAGATATCTAATTAAATCAGGCTGGCTCCTTAAATTAAAAAGGATTCAATTTTTGCTACCTGCATGAAATAAACATCAATGGCAAAGAAACACAGCCTGAAAAGATGGAAGATGATATTCTATGAAAATGGCTATTTGGACTATACTAATATCTGAATAGATTTCAGAGCAAAATTAGTTGAAACTAGAAATGATTAAATACTAATAAGGGGAACAATTCATCAAGGAGATAAAACAATTGTGTACATACACACACAGTGAATACTGGCGGGACAATTTCATAAAACAAACACTATTGGACATAAAGAACAGATAAATCCAGATACAATAGTAGATAATTTCAACATCCCACTCTCATCAATACACAAAGCACCTAGACAAAATATTAGTAAACTTTAACATGTACCAAAGGCCAAACAGCCTAGACTCAAGACTCACACAAAGAATATTCCAATAGCTGCAGAATACACATTGAATTCAGCAGTCCAGGAAACTTTCTCCAAAACAGTTTACATCAGACCCTAAAGCAAATCCTAACAAATAAAAAATACTGAATAACTTCTTATATTCCATCAGATCATAATGGCATAACCCAGAAATCAACAGAAAGAGAAAATAAAACTAACACATTAAACTTAAACAATGTGCTATTGAATGATCAATCAGGATTAAAACTTGGTAGAATCAAATGAAAATTTAAAAAAACACTTATAAGAGTCTGTGAGCTACAGCAAAATCAATTCTAAGAAAGAAACTTACATACTCATGAGTAGGGACATTAAGGAGACATCAAGTAAATAACCCACCGATGCCATCTCTAGGTTGCAGAAAACAAGAATAAGCCATACCTAACATCTACAGAAAGAAATACTAAGTTCCGATCTCAAATTAATGAAATGGGAAAAGAGAAAATCATGAAGGATCAAAATGGAGGGCGACCTGCTTGAAAAGATAAAGTGGGAAAACAGCCTCAGTGACACAAGTAAGAGAGAAAACTGGAAACGAATAAATTAAAAAATCAAACAAAACTGATACTACTGAAATCCAAGCTTCTATGATACTTCAAGATACTATGAAATACACAGACAATATACAAATATATTTCAGTAGATTGAAAAACATAGAATGTTCTTATGGACACACAGTCATTACAAGGGTAAAAGAAACTAAAGAAATCTGTCACTGACAATATGATGGAAGTAGTAATAATTGTCCAACAAAGAAAACCAAGGACTACAATGGCTTCACTGCAGCATTCCACCAGACATTTAAAGAACACGAATACCAATGTCTCTCAAAATATTCTATAAAAATAAAAATGAGAGTATTTTCAAACTCATTCCCCTGCTAAGAAAAACCTGGGTAGGGAGGGAGGGGAAAAGGGAACTACAAACCAATTTCCTTCATGACAAGCCTACATGCAAAAATCCCCAATAAAATGCTTGCAAACTCAATACAAGAACACAGCAAAAAGATCGTATGCCATCAACTTGGTTTCACATTAGGGATGAAAAATGGTTCAGTATACACAAATCAATAGAGAAATGAGGACAAAGCCCACATGGTCACTTTAATGGATACTGAAAATGACCTCTGACACAATTCAGCACTCATGATAGAAGTCCTGAAGAAACTAGTCTTGAAGAGAAGGGTCATATTTCAACACATGAAAACTACTGCCAGTACTACACTGCATGGGAAAAAAAAGGAAGGAGATACAAGTCCATTCTAGCCACTCTTGATCAAAGTAGTTGCTGAAATCCTAGCCACCGCAGTAAGGGAAATGAAGGGATACAACAAAGGAAATTAAATAAGTGACTGGTAGAAAATATACTATACTTAAAACACCCAAAAGTCCCAGATGCTTCTTACATCTGGTAATTTCTGCAAAGAAGCAAGACGCAAATCCAACACACAAAAATCACTTTTCTCCATGCACCAGCAAACTTCATGAACTAGGAGTTAGGAAAACACCATCCGTGGTATCTTCAGAAACATGCCTAGGTGTAGGGGAAATAGCAGTTGGCATGAAGCCCTGGATTCAAGCCCCAGAAGCCATGTAAGTAAGTACATACATGGTAGTGTGTGCCCAAATCTTAGTAGTGGGAACAAGAAAGCACTTCTCAGGGGTTGCCGACAACCAGCCTAGTCCTACCTGCTGAATTCCACACCAGGGAGACAAAGTGGACAGCACCGGAGGAGGAGGACTAACACCTAAGGCTTACATCTGGCCTCCACATGCTCACATGTATATGGACACAAACACAAAACACCTAGGATTTGTAAACTTAACCAAACATGTTAAACACCTCTACAACAAAAGTGCACAAGTCACTAAAGACAGGAAGACCTCCCGTACTCACTGTTGTGCTAAATTCATAGCACCAAAAGTGATACACAGATTCAATGCAATTTTAATCAAAATTCTCAACATTCTTTATAGAAATATATTTAAATCCTAAAATGTGTATGAAAACAAAAAATGCCCCCAAATAACTTAATCTTGAGTAGGAAAGGTATTGCTAGAAATAGCATTATCAAACTATACTATACACTCCTAACAGCAACCGAGTGGGATTGGGGAGGATGTGGGAGTAAAAACATGCTCAAAACATATTTATGAAATTCTCAAAGAAAATTTAAAAGAACAGCATGGCACTGGCACAAAAACAAACAGGCAGACTACCTTGTGGACCTATGTTAGTGACTTTGCATTTGACGGAAGAAACATCATGTGATATCATAAGAGCCCAATTTAAGGAATTGTGAGTCTGTGAGTTGGATGGAACTAGGGGGGGCACTCATGACCAGCATCCTAAGGAAGCTCCTTGTTGGTGTTTACATCCACCATGTGTAGCACTACACTGGAAAAAAGCACAGTGCAAAACTCATGCAAAGTATCTGTTCACAAAACACATATTCCTGGTTCTCAGCGGATATTATAAATCTTACAGCATTCTTTGCTTCTTTAAAATTTGCTGTAGCCACCTGTCCGTGAGTTACCATTTGGAAGACAGATGGAGATAGTCACTTAAAAATGTCCATTTAAGTAGGTGTTGTGTGCTCACAGCACATTGTGAAACTGTGAGCTGGAGACTTCATATTATTTGCATTCCTTAACATAAGACCTAGAATTTGGCCGGGCGTTGGTGGCACATGCCTTTAATCCCAGCACTCGGGAGGCAGAGGCAGGCGAATCTCTGTGAGTTCGAGACCAGCCTGGTCTACAGAGCGAGTTCCAGGACAGCCTCCAAAGCCACAGAGAAACCCTGTCTCGAAAAACCAAAAAAAAAAAGACCTAGAATTTGGGTACTGTTTAGAACCAATTGTTGCTACTGTTTCCATGCCACTCATTTATTTTTCATGCAGAGAATTAAGAACTAACCATAAATGGGACAAAGGAAAATTCCTAAGTTCAGAGGAAATTTTACTGAGTATCTACTTGTCGTTTGCATTAGGAGCAGCTACTAGACGTTCTGGAATCAAAACGCAGAGTATCTGAGAGAACATTTCTGGATACAGACTTAATGAGAAACCACGGTGCCGTCCCATCAAACAGACCTATCTTCTTTTAGGCCTGGGAAAAGTTTGAGGCCAGGGCATCCACCGAATGTGCTAACCCATTGTTTCTTCTTCTGACAGCTGGTTGACCTCAAGGTGAGCAGGGCCTCAGACTACCTTCTGAGCATCGGATGCAGGCGTCTGGTCACTGTACTGCTACAGTAGCTACTCTCTTGTCCTTTCACTTTACCATCCTTGGTTGTTTTTATTGTCAACTTGACACACCAAGACTCAAGCGGAAAGGGTGTCTCAGCTGAGGGCCTGAGAACTTGCCCAGATCAGAATGGTCTAACCGTGTCTGTAATGGGTTTTGATTGTTGACTGATGTGGGAGGACCTAGTTTACTGTGGACAGTGCCACCCAAGGACCAGTAGTCCTGGCATGTTTTCGGGAAGGAGCCAGGAGGAGCAAACCAATGAGCATCTCTCTTCCACATTTCCATCCTCTGCTCCTGCCTTAGCTCCTATCCTGACATCCCTATGACAGACTGCTACCTGGAAAAGGAAGCTAAAAAACCATTTCCTCCCAAGCTGCTTTTGGTTATGGTTATCTATCACAGCAACAGAAAGCAAACTATAATAATTTTCCAACTTAATATCACAAAACAGCCAAGTTAACATAACTTCAAATTTCCCTAAGATAATTCTATTAAGAGTCTAAATCTTCCAACAAGGTAAAAGCAACACAAAAATAACAACTCTTCTAGAAAATGACTTTGTGGAAGCGTATCGGATGTACAATACAATAAATTAATCTTTTCCAAAAAATTCAAATTTATCAATAACTCCTTCCCTTCTTCATACTTATCACATCATACAAAATTTAGTTATTTATCCACTTGCTTTACACTGAAGTTTTCTAAGTTTCCAGTCATGACAGCTTTGTGTGTACATGTATGTCTTGTTATAGTCTTGTAAAGAAGAGCTATGTGAAGAAATGTATTTATTGAGTATATTTTGCCTGTAGGTGACCACAGGTTTCCCTATTTGAGTACCAGAAAACTGGAATGATTCCTCTATAGAACCAAAACTGCTTCTTTGAAGGAATTCTGATTCATTTCTCTTTCTGACATATTGTTATCCTGAATCAAGTGGGCAATCTGAACCCCTAAAACATTGGCAGGTCCTGGGTGCAGTTAGATAGTTCTCAGTGATCCTGGACTTTGCACAAAGAATGGTCAGGCAGGTGAGACCCGGGTTGACGCTAGGCCAACATAGAGAATTAAACAGCTCCAGTAAAAATCTTCGACAGTGACAGAACTGCACCTCCATCAGCTGAGGAAAACAACATCTCTACTGTAGAGAGACTTACCCCAAAAGGCCTTTAGCTTTATGGAGTCTGTTTTGAATTCTCAACATAAAACTATTTCCCTACATTTTCTGTACATTCTCATTTTTAAATATGTCACGTCTTCAAATCACAGGGAGATGATACACACTGTGCTGAAATTGTAGTTGGTCTGCTTAACTTTGAAATTACAGCAGGGTGGAAAACAGTGGGGTTCTATAGAATACAGGTTGTTCTAGTCATGCCAGAAAAGTCCTAGACCCTAAAGTCCAGTTACTGAAGAGATGACTCGGACAAAGATGCTTGTAGAAGCCGGATGAGCCAAGCTGAGCTCCACTTCCAAAAACAAAATGATAGACAACTGGCTATAAATTACCTACTGACTCTCACATGCATGCTGCAGCACATAACAGCCCTCCCCCAATGTAGTTTAATTTTATAAAGTGTGGATTCAGCATGCACCAGCTATGTATTTGCAGTTGTTTTAGCAATAGACTCAAAAGTCAAGATCCTCAGACCAATTCAATATGTACTTGAAGTTTTTTTCTTTTTTGCTGTCTGGGCTCTATGGTTTCTCAGTTTCACGGCTGAAGAAAATAGGATACATGCAGGGTTAAAGCTGCTTACTGTAGTTATCTTCATGGAGAATGTCATCTTAACTGTGCTGTGGAAGACATGGTAAACAAACCGGAGGAGACAGCCAAGCTCTACGCTACACAACTTAGAGATGGGACTGTTAAGTCATAGGGAGACTCTGAATGGTACCTGCCAAAAACCACTCTAGTGTGAAGCCTGGTATACAGTCTCATGTATACATTGGACAATGTATGATTTGGGGGTTTTTTTCTTCCATATTTCGAGACAGGGTTTCCCTGCGTAACAGCATAAGTTTTATGTATACATTCTGTACAGTGTTTGGGAAATACACTTGAGAATGTAATTATTTACACAAAACCAGTTGACAAAATGACAAGAAAGCAAAATATTACTCAATTAAACCAGAATGTGATTCTGGCAAATCCAGTAAGGTATTACAACAACAGAGAGAAATATCTTTTATATAATCAAGCACATTACATGTCTTAAAAATAAATCCATCTGTGTTTGCTAACTGGCTTTAACAGAACAATAACTCACATATATTGGAGAAACTTTGTGTCTTGGAAGCAGCTGCCTAAGGAAGCGCACTGGTGTTCGGCAAGGTGGGAACTGCAGTTAAAGGTGCTGTCACACTGTTTACATTTGTACAACTTCTCTCCAGTGTGGACTCTCTGGTGTCGGTTAAAGCTTGACCGCTGAGTAAAGGCCTTGCCACAGTCTTTACAACAAAAGGGTTTGTCCCCAGTGTGAACTCTCTGGTGCTGAGTGAGGCTTGATCTCTGATTAAATGCTCTGCCACAATCTTGGCAATGGTAAGGTTTCTCTCCTGTGTGAATTCTCTGGTGTTGAATAAGAAGTAAGTTACGACTGAATGCTTTGTCACAATCTTGACACTTGTAGGGCTTCTCTCCAGTATGGATTCTCTGGTGTCGAGTAAAGCTTGACCTTTGAGTAAAGGCCTTGCCACAGTGCTTACAAAGATAGGGCTTATCTCCAGTGTGAACTCTCTGGTGTTGAGTAAGGCTTGATCTCTGTTTAAAAGCTTTGCCACAGTCTTTACAGTGGTAGGCCTTCTCTCCAGTATGAATTTTCTGGTGCTGAGTAAGGAAAAAAACACGGTTAAAGGCTTTGCCACATTCATTACATTTATTGGGTTTCTCTCCAGTGTGACCTCTCTGGTGTAGGCTGAGACTTGATCTTTGATTAAAGGCTTTGCCACAGTCTTTACAAGAATAGGGCTTCTCTCCAGTATGAATTCTCTGGTGTTGAGTAAGACTTGACTTTTTATTAAATGCTTTGCCACAATCTTTACAGTGGTAGGGCTTTTCACCAGTATGAATTCTCTGGTGTTGCGTTAGGAGTGAATTGCGGTTGAAGGCTTTGCCACACTCTTTGCATTTGTAGGGCTTCTCTCCGGTATGAACTCTCTGGTGCAGGCTAAGGCTTGATCTCTGATGAAAAGCTTTGCCACAGTCTTTACAGTGGTAGGGCCTCTCCCCAGTATGAATCCGCTGGTGCTGAGTAACAGTTGATCTTTGATTAAAAGCTTTGCCACAGAATTTACAGCAGTAGGGTTTCTTTCCGGCATGAATGCTCTGGTGTTGGGTAAGGAGTGATTTATGGTAAAAGGCTTTGCCACATTCTTTACATTTGTGATGTTTGACTCCAGAATGAATTCTATGATGCTGTCTAAGGCTTGAACAATAGGTAAAGGCTTTGCCACATTCCTTACATTTGTAGGGTTTTTCTCCAGTGTGACTTCTAGTAAGGCTGGAACTTTTATTGAAAGCTGTGTTACAATCCATACCCTTGGAAATTTGATCTTGAATATGGATATACTGGTGGATGATAAGTTCTGAGTATTGATGAAAGACTGTGTCACATTTGTAACACTTATAAAAGTTCTTTGGAAAATGAGCAGACTGATGATTAGCAGGATTTGGCACGTGGGTTAAGTCACTATCATTTTCATTACATTGATATACTGTCTCTCCAATGTACGTGCCCTGGTGATTACTTAAGGTAGACTCATCAGTAAAGGCCTTCCTATTTTCTTTACATATATACTGGATTTCTAAAATATCTGTATTTGAATTTTGATTAGGTGATACTGGATGTGTAAAGAACCTGCCATATTTATGGAAATTCTGTGTTTTGGCATATGAAAGACCTATTTGCTGATCATATACTAGTGAATTTTTTACATTGGAGTTCTCAAATTGATTACATTTAGAAATTCTTTCTTCATTTTTAAGTTCCCCATCTACAAAAATGTTTGAATGAAAGCTTAGCCCAAAGCTACATTTGAAGTTGTTAAAGTCATTAACAGAGGAATGGACTAGGTCCGTTTGTATATTTCCCAGATTATCTTTGAAAGAAGAGGTACATTTCAAAGGCTGATTCTGATGTTTGCTGACAGAAGCACATGGCTGTTCACAAGTAACTGGCATTGTGTGAGAGTTTTCCTGAACCATTTCATGGTCTTGCCCTCTACCGGGAGTACAGCTTTTCCTATTACCAGCTGTCACAAACTGGTTAGGGTTATGTCCATTATCATAGGTCTTCTGGACTTCACACCCCTCAATACTTTCCCTTTCTTCTCTAAAGTACAAACTGTCAAGGCCACAATTCCTATGGCTTCCACTGATCAGTTCCTGGAATGAATATTTTATATTCTGCTCTGGTGAAAAGTCTTGGTCATAATGAGGAAACATAGCTGAAAGAAATCAAGACAAAAAAATTTATTTCACTCACTAGACTCTGATGAACACAACTTACAAATCTACCATCTAAAATCATGCTGAATTTATCAAACATCAAACAGCAGAATGAAAAAAATCTATGGCCATCAATACTGAACACAATGGTTCTGGAAGAAAATAAGTGCTCCTCGCCTGGCAGTGGTGGCACACACCTTTAACCCCAGCACTCTGGAGGCAGAGGCAGGTGGATCTCCATGAGTTCAAGACCAGCCTGATCTACAAGAGCTAGTTCCAGGACAGGCTCCAAAGCTGCACAGGGAAAACTATAAATCATTAGCAGTCAGTGTTTGGTAGACAAAAATCACAGAAAACCCATTAAAATGTTTATAAGAAGCTCTGAGACAATAAACAAACAAATATATAAATGATGTCAATAGAAAACTTCTTTAGCACATAACATATTATAGTCCCCAGATTTTCTGAGGCCCCCAAACGTTATGAAAGAACTGGCACATTACACAGCTCCCACGGGTGAAGGGGAAGGTTTCTGCTACCACTGTTAATGTGCAGGGGATCCCTGCAGGAGGACTAGGCTTAGAGAACTTTAAAGGATGGTAATCACAGTAGGAAGTGCTCTTCAATGACAATGAGAGGACAAACAGAACTGTACTTCTGAGAAACCAATGCCTCTGAACAGAGCTTCATAGCACATCTTTTAGGCCTGGCGATCTCGAGTCTGATCTCATCTTTGTGCTCTGTTTCAGTCATTCCTACTGACCTGGGAACAAGACCATTGTCTTTTGCTTCTTTACATTCCAGGGCTCTTTCCTTTGCTCCAGACAGGTAACCAGGTATGGCTTAGACACAGCAAGACCTGGTTATTGGAAAACAGAACATGACACTCTGTCAGCTTGGAGACGATAGAGTGCATCCCCTGTAAGTAACTTTTCTCTTCAATAAAGTATCCTAGATTCCTTCTTTTCCTGTCCCACTGATTTCCGTGACAACACTTAACTTGATTTTCCTTACCACTACTAACATATCTGGACTAGAATTATGTTCAGTATGAAAGAAGAAAAGCAATAGAAAAATAACAATATTCTAGATCATTATTTTTCCAAATGTTATTTCCCTACAGATATATAGTAATATATTTGCAATTTACAGATTCTGAGCTCTACTTTTGTCTACTACCAAATTACAGATAAAGAAGGAATAATTGGACTTTAAGATGTAAATTATAATACTTTATGCCGCTTGGCTGCTATAATTACCACAAATTTTAATTTGGAATATATACTACCTGAAGAGAGAAGTGAGGATAAATATAAAAAATAGGAATATTTATTATCTATTTCAATAGTACTTCCCACATTTCTCTCCTGAAAACAGAGGCTCTCAAGATATATTTAACAATGAAAGGGAACTGAATGCTAATGCTGAGTTAGTAATTCTGTAGGGAAGTTACCTTACCCAAGAAGACCAGGTTCCTGTAGTTTTCTAACATCACATCCTTATACAAATTCTGCTGTTCAGAGTTCAGGCATTCCCATTCCTCTCCAGAAAAATCAATGGCCACATCTTTGAAGGTCAATGGTTCCTGAAATAAAAATAAGTAGCACAATGATCATGTGGCTATTGACTCCAATCTTAATTTGACCCCCGGGTGAAATGAGTTAAGGAGAGCTACTTTCCACATAGGTGGGTGATCTTAACTATTCCCTAAACCATCTTAACATAGTGGTATTTCTAATGTATTACCTAACTCTCCAATAAAGATGACATAAAACCCACAGGGAAGATACTGTACTTTTATGAAAAACTAAATGTAAAGGCATCAACACAAGCATTTGCATGTTAAAGTTCTATTTAATAAGATAATGTATGCCTACTTTTCAAGTAAAGAAGACATACTGAGAAAGGTACTTATGACTTTCTGAAACACTGCTACCTGGTTTTTTTTGGGGGGGGGCTCAGACCTGGGGCTTTACACAAGCCAGGAAACTGATCTATAACTAAGCTACATCCCTTAGAGGTTCTAATTCAGTAGTTCTAAACTGAAGTAGGTTTCTGATAATGCAGCAAGCTCAGTAGTAATATCAGTACTAGTGGTCCAAAACAGAAGAAAAAAAAAGTAATAAGGTAGATACCAAGAGAATTCATTAATGGATTTGAATTGAAAGAGTTTTAAGGAATTTACTTTTTATTGTAATAGCAGCATGGCAACTATCCTTTCTGATCATTTAAAATATACTAAATAGCGCTCAACTTTTCATACACTAATGCATAAATCCCCCAACTAATCTATTAGAGACCAGGAACGTTTTCCTCATTTATGGCATTTTGTCACACACCCATAAATGTTTACATGTAACTCCACCCAACACCAATTCAGTAATATATCAGGTGCATTTGTCTAAGACCTTTATTCCAGGCCTGGGATCATGGGCAGTACATACGTGACAATGGACATACAAGAGTATCAAACTCACAAAGGAAGAAATAAAGGTCACCATGACCAGCTTAACCCATTAAACAGGCAGGTGTGTATTATAATTAAAATGTAAACAAGAAATAACTTGAAGATATTTCAAAGGTTAAATGTGTAACAATACGTGGTTTCCAGATAGTTGCTTTTTTAATTTAGCCCATGATAATAAATGTATTTTAGGTTGGGCAGTGGTGGTGCATACCTTTAATCCCAACACTCCAGAGGCAGAGGCAGGTGGATCTCAGTGAGTTCGAGGTCAACATGGTCTACAGAGCAGAGTCCCAGAACAATCAAGGCTACACAAAGAAATCCTGTCTTGAAAAACCAAGAAAAAAAAGTGTTTTAATATAACATGCCAAGCATACAATACACCCTTGAAAACTGAAATAAAAATTAAACAAAACTACCTTTACAAAATATGATGTTATGTTGTAATATTTTAATCATATTCTATAAGTAAATTAATCAAAATTGATTTTTGCCTGCAATTTAAAAAATATTGATGACCAACAAGATGGTTCAGGCAGGTAAAGGTGTCTGCTACCAATCCTGCCAATCTGAGTTCAATACTAAGGACACACATGAAAGAGGATTGACTCCTACAAGATAGCCTCTGACCACCATATATGTGTTGTGGTACATACATGCTCCACATACATACACACAAGTAATTACATGTAATGCAGATTTTTAATAAAAAGCTGAGTTAGAAAAACAATACAATGGTTAGGCACTGCCTCTTCCGCTTCTACTTACTACAGTACTTAAGAATAAATTCACCTTCTCTCAAGCGTTTTGGAATGGACAATGTGACAATTTCCTCTGAGACACTTTCCCATTTGAATAGCTCCTGCTCAACTTCCCACACAGATCCCTGGAGTCCTATGGCAGAATTTAATCCTGCTGGCCTAGCAACTGTTTCTACTCTTTACCAAAAACCTGTCTTTAGTCTGTTTAAAAACTGCATTCTGAAGCCAGTAGTTCTGTAAGTTGCATTCTCATGCTTCATTTTTCTCTGTTAAATCTGGGTGTTGGAATACCCTTATTTCTAAACTTAAATGCACAGTTTACAAAGTTGTAAAGATGGAATAAAATGTGTAAATACTGTCAGGTTCAAAGCTCCCTTTGCCCCAAAATGGCAGTGCTGGTGACACTGTCCTAAACACGACTTTGGTCAGGTAAACATAAGGATTGTTATTGGGTAAACAATCCTAGAAGTTTCTGTTCACTAGAAAGGCAAATCTCTTAAGGTTTTATTTACCAAGAGTTTACCACACAAGTGTACTGGTTTGTCAGGAAGCCTCCCTATGCCCTTTGGGGTGTGTACCATCATATGGAGAAAGGACACCCCTCCACTGATCCTGGGTATCTTTCTGACAAGTCTCTAGGTCCACCTGGGGATGCCCCAAATTGAAAGTCTTGTCACCTGGACTCTGACTCCCCTAAATCTCTGCCATTCCCTTACTCTGCTCCTGCTGTTTTCTCTCGGCTCCCTCCCGGAGCTTGCTCTCTAACCATGGCTAACCACTTGTCTCTCTCCTCTTCCCCCTCCGCCCTGCTGGGTCTCTGTCCCACTCACTGGATCCTCCTGCTTCGCTCAGCTCCTGGAGCCTACTCTACAGAAGTCCAGCAGGTACAGCTGGCAGCTAGTTTCTCTTCACCTTCCCAGGCCTCTAAGATGATGGGACCTCCCTCTGGTGGAGTTGCTATTTACAACACTTTTTCCTAAGCCCCTCCCACCTCCTCTTCACTCTGCTTTCCTACTGGCTCTATCTCTCAGCACCCATCTCTAAGCAAGGCTCTTCCCCCTCGCGTTAGACTCCTCACCTGCCTCCTCTTTTCTCTTTCCTCCTTAGATTCAGGGATTCCATTAAAGCCTTGCTGTCTTACTGCAAGTAGTTTGGTCTCAGTACAGACTACATAATCAGCCTCAATGGCCAGGAAATGGCCACATTTTCAGACTGTCACAACTGCCACCACACAAGCAAATGATGCAAAAATCCCCTTTTCTCTACTCCTCTCAAAAATGCTCCTCCTCTAAGCCTTCTCTGTCTAAGCTGCCTAGCCCCTCCCTCTGATCACCAGATTCAGTCTTACAAAGACACAAATGCCTCTGGGTATAAATATTAAAAATGGCTTTTATACTATTCTGCTAAAAAAAAAAAAAAAGGTGGCTCTGGAGTTGAGGTATGGCCTCTCTCCAGATCCAAGCAGGCTTATTTAAAAGTTTCCTCCAAAGTCTCAGTGTCCTGGGTCAGGTTAGCCACCTGACTGTAACAGGGAGAAGGAAGGCAGAACAGAACTGCCCAGGAAAAGCCACCGTGTGCTTTAACACAGCTAAAGAGTGAACTATTCCCAATAAGGATTACTACTGTTCATCTCATTCTCCTTTTCGTGGTTTTATTTAACTTTCTGAATACTTCCTTATCTTATATCTCTAGAGCTTTTGCCGAAGTGCAAACTTTCTATATCTCAGGATTTGTAAGTTTGCTGAGTGTGGTTTTTAAAAGAACTGCAATAAAAAAGTTAGCTGAAAACTTAGAAAATGATGATAGGAAAAAAATCTATACATAATCTTAATTTGCTACAACATACTTCTATATAACTTGGATTCAACTCTTGCTTAGTAAAATGTTTATAAAAAGGGAAAACAAAGTGTGTGCCCGATGGTTTACTTTGGAATAAATAGCCACCATGTGACTGGCAGCCAATGGAACTTCATCACCATATTGGTTAAGGTGACCATGTGACATAAACCAAGGAAGGCAGCACCTACAAAACTTCTTAGTCCTACTGAGCCCTCCAATTATCACTGCATCTCCTATTTTAGATTAAGGAGGCAACACCAGAACTCCAAGATATTTTGGATTAGGACAGACTTTTGTCCTGAGACAAAAAAAATAACAGATAAGAGCAAAACCATGAACAAGGCTTCTGGAATAAGACTTAAGGTCTACTCAGGTTAGCAGAAACTGACTTAGAGATGTATGTCTAACTACTTACGTCCCTGCTAACTGTGTTCAACACCATGTTTCTAAAAACTTAGATAAAGAACATGTTTGATGAATAAGGTTTGTAAATCCTAAGGTCCATTCAAGCTAGCAAAAACTAACTTGAGGATGTATGTCTAGCCTCTTTGTCTTTCCTAATTTTTTTAAGTTTCAGCTACTTGGATAAATTGACCCACACAAGAAACTGTGATATTCTATAAAGCTTCAGCTACTTGGATAAATTGACCCACACAAGAAACTGTGATATTCTATAAAAGTACACTAATAAGGACCAGGAAAGCAAGGTTCCCAGTCTCTCTGTGAACTAAATTTATGGTTTAAAATTTTATTTTGATACCAAAGGATCTTCAACTTAATCTTCAATTACAATTATTCAGGCTGAAACTTAACAGGAATAAAACTGTAAAATCCTAATCTTATAAAAATAATTAGGACATGCAGGTTATGATCAGTAACCTCATAAATGATTGGTCTTTAATGAGCTCAGGGCATAACTTGTAGTACACAAATGTGATTCATTTACAGGGACAACCTTTAGCCTTCTGAACTTGTTGTCAAGGCTAAGCCTACAACAATTAAGTTTGTGTCAAATCGGGTATACTTGACAAATTCAATGACAGCCCTCAAATCCCTCAGAGAGATCTGCTGGAAAATGGCTTTGAGGTATTTAATGAAAAAAAAAAAAACAACTTCCTGTGACAGACAGAAACGCCAGCTCTGTCCACAGCCCTAATGTCTTCTTTGAGAAGGCAGGGCAGTGGACTTCACCTGGAATAGGACTCAAATATGGCTGCCACAGTCACTGGGCGAAGAATCGCCCTCCAGCTCGCCAGCCATCAGGACCCTGCCCAAACTGTGGGGAAATGGGACACTGGAAAATCTACTGCCCCTCCTGGCCTTGCCAAGGTAGGTCAGTACCTCTCTTTAGGGAAGTTTCTTGGGTCTTTCTGGTCCTGGTGGCCAAGGACTGATGTTGCCCCGGAACCTCTGCCCCCAACGAAGCCATTGAGATGAAGTCCAGGCGGCCCATCCAGACAGCTGGTAAGTTTTCATCATTCTTCACTGGTACAGAGGCCATTTGGTCCATACGTCCTACTCAGATGTATCCTTGTCAGATCTCTGAGATGGTGTTGGCGGTGGACCCTAGCTTTACCAGACAGTTTAGCTGACCTTAGCCAGCCCCTGCCACTAGGTTAGAGCTGCCAGATCAGTCCATTCATAGCTAGCCTATGTAACCCCACGACCTTGGCTTCACAACAACTTGGGGTACAAAAGTTATAGAGTTATTTGCTGATGATACAAGTTAAAAAAAAACTGTAAAAGGTTTAAATTATCTGAGTCTCATACATAAAAAAGGTTTGGGGCTGAGGCCGGGATTAACTACTGGCCTGAATTGGTTTCATATGTAAAAATGAGGCCTTGCTTGTTTTAGGGCTACCAGGTCCCCTGTTGAGAAAGGCGGGGCCACAGGCAGGTTTTCCTTGCTGACAGGCTTCATGCTGAGAAAGGTAAACTCACAAAACAGGTTTCCATGTGTAAAGAAAATTGCCTTTTACTAATCCTTTATTTAAAGAACTTCTTTTCAATGACTGCTGTCAGTAGTCAACCCCCTCAACAGGCAAGGGCACTTGCTGCCACAACTCACAACCGAAATCTGGTCCCTTGAATTCACTTTATGGAAGGACAGAATCAAGCCCGGCAAGTTGTCCTCTGACCCCACAGGAACACCGTGACTGGCATGCACCTGTCCCACTCAGAAGATAAAAACGACCAAGAAGCAATAATACAAGAACAGTGTAGCAAGAAAAACTAGTGGATTTAAACGAGGGTACAAACATGCCCATGAGCCCTACCACGTCTCATCCCCAGAAGCAATGCAGGACCAGAAAGCAGCCACCTTCATTGGCTTACAGCACACACTTCCCAGGATTACTTGGCAGCCTAGATTCGTTCTAGCAAACCTGCACCAAAGATTTAATTAAGCAAGCAGAAGAGTCTTTCCCCATCCTAAGCACAGAATATTATCAAATAGTTTAAGTGCCTTTCAGATGAGGGTACACCAAGAGGTTCTTCTAGGCCCAAGACATCTAGTGCCTCCCCAGTAGGATCGACCCTCACGCCTCAGGCTGCTAAGACGAACTGAGCCCAGAAATATGTACACTGGATGCTCTTAGACACCAGAGACATGCGTGGTAGCTGGTGTTAGGCATCACTGAAACCGGGGCAAGGAAAGGGATGGAGAGTAAGATGAGGACAGACCAACACTATGTAAAACCTCCAAAGGGGATGCTCAACCCCAAAGCATTCTGACTGGTTTCCCACGTCTAAGGAAGACAAAAGGAGAGGCATTAAGATTGCTGAAATAAAGCATCCATTTATCTTATTGAAATATCCACAGAGAAAATCCTTTAAAAGGTGTCACACGGTATGTGGAGGAAAAAAAATCAAAACCAACCAAACAGAACCTACTTGAAATGCGGCGTGGGAAACGGGCGTTAATTTTTTTTCCTTTTTTTAAGTTAGTGTTAGGGAATGCGGTCGGGAGACAGGGATCTTCCACCGCCCATGGGAGAAGCGAGGCTAGGGGAAGAGCAGGCTCGCAAATGAGGCTCTGCCTCGCGTGCATTTGGAACTCTCGGGAGGAGGGGCCGGCCACCTCACAGAACTCGGCTCCTTCCACTGCGGGAAACGCACACCGAGGCTGGCACACCCGCTGGCGATCCTGCTCATCGCCACACAATCCGGACTGCTGGACCGGAGCGCCGAGGACTCCAGCCGGGGAGCAAGCCGCTTTCCAGCGATCTTCGGGACAGGGTGGCCTCGCCCCGCCCGCAGCAAGGGGAGCCCACCGCCCAGCAGCTCGGGGACGCGGCAGGACGCCGGGGTCTCCAGCACACGGCCCAGCGGGGGCTCGGCCCGGCCGACCCCAGAGCCGGCCGCAGGAAGGCGGGGCCGCCAGCGCCTCCCTCCCGGCGCCCGCTCCCCGCAGATCGGCACGGCCCCCGGCCTCGCCGCGCCACGCACACACTCTGCAGCAGGCGCTGCCGTGCCCTCCGTCCTCCCTCGCCGACCGCCGGCCGCAGCCGGTTCCCGTCGGCTCCACGCAGCCTCCCTCCAGTGGCCCGGCGCCATGCACACTCACCATTGTGGCCCGGCGTCTGCTGCGTCCGTGTCCTCCCGTGGATGGCCCGGCACCCGCCAGACGCAGGGCAAACGGATGCGGCGAGGCCGAGCCAGCGTCCACACCGGAAGAGACCCAGCCTGAGGAGGATTCCAAGATCCTGGACTTCAGAAACAAAACGAGAAAGCCCGCCCCCTCCACCCTTTCTGCACGGCTGATTGGAAGGTCTCACTGTCGGGCTGCTGATTGGATGACTTTCGGATCCCGCCCCATCAGGACCCAACACTGCCTTAGGAAGCTGGAATGACAGGTTCTTGGTACAGCTGTAGTAAAGCTGACACCAAAGGGGACATTTAATCTCGTATATAAGGTCATGCTGATTTATTAGTCATATGTATGTATGTTATTCGCAGTAGAAAATGATTTCGCGGTTTTTTCCCCTGAGCTCTGTTCCCGAATTCTAAATTTTAAAATGGGAAGCAATCCCCTGAATCAGCAATATGCAATATAAAAGGAGGGAGTAACACACAAGTGTAATATTGAATTTTCTAGTATTGATATTAAAATTAAAACAGGGAATAATGATTGTAATAAAACCCAGTATATCCAAAATATTGTCATGATGTGGAGTTGTTATTGTTATTGATATATATATACTGATATGCATATACATACACGTGTGTATATATACACATATATACTTTGTGTGTACACACACATACATCTCGATTACTGTACTAAATCATTAAAATTCATTGAATCTCTCCCACTTATGTCATAGGTAAAGAAATACAATTCCCTGCCAGTGCTTCTCTTAGGTCCCAGTGAATGGGAATAATAGTGTCCTAAAAAAGACTCCAACCAGGAGGGGTCCACAGGTGGGCACAGGAGGGAAGCCTGTGTCTCCTGATTCTTCCACTGACTTGCCCTCTGTAGTTTAAATAGATTAAAAACAAGATTCTTTTTTTCCAATTTGACATTGGACCTAATTGTCAGGCTGTGGACTTATGTTTTCTCCTGCGATGTGGAGTACTGTGTAAATTTAAGGACCCAACCATATGCACACATGACTGTAAATTTTCCTGTATAATTCAACACTATTCAGCAAGAGATGAAACTTTAATTAATGGGAAGGGAAATTAACACATATAGAGCAGCTACCATTTGCTGGGTAACTTACAATTAAAATATCATCAAGTCATGCCGTCATGCCTGTAAGAGTGCACTATTTTTCTACCTCTGGATAACAAGCCACTCCAAAAGGTATTAGTTGGTGATTGGGTTGCTCCACAATAGAGGTTCAACTGGGCCACTTCTGGTGCATCTGGTAAGTGATGGTTGTCAAGATGGCACAGCCCCCAGAAAGGTGAGCTGGCTATCAGCCTAGGCATCTTTACCAACCCCCTCATGATATCTCGTCTTTCCAGCAGGCTACTGTGATAGAAATGGAGGTGGCCTGAAAGAAAGATGAAAAGCGTTCAAGACCTTTTCAGTCCAGGTATCAGACACAAGGTCATGTGAGCCATGCCCAAAAGAGGCCAACTCAATTGCAAAGTATAGAAGCAGATACCACCTTCTGATGGGAGCTACAGAAAATGCATGTTGCCTAGGTTGTGGATGCAGGGAAGAGCGAAGATGTGCTGACATTTTTTCATTCAGTATCATTATGCCTCTTCTTATTAATGAGGTTCTAAGTCATGGAATTTACCCAAACAAGGCTGGAATTCCACAAGTACTCCTGACTCCTAAAGCCCAAATGCTTACTCTAGAACATGTGATCCACCCCACCTATATGGTCCTCTTAGGGCTTGAATCTAAAGAGCAGGCTTTGTGTCCATGAACTATTCTTCATATTGAGGGATGATCTTTTTGACAGAATATTTCTACAGCTTCTGCAGAGAACCTAAAATAATTTGGGGAAATGTTTTTCTAAAAAAATGTGAGGAAAATTTTTGGAAATCAAGAGCCAACCACACATTTTTGTTGCTCATCACAAGAGAAATTTGAAGACACATGTAATGTGCCCCACAGGCATGAAAATTCTTTGCACGTTTTTTTGGTATTTTGTAGGATATTTTTGTTTTTGATGCAGGCAAGATGAAATGACTGTGCCTGAAATAATATCTCACTATGAAAACAAGTTACTTAAAGACATGTGGAATGTCTACTGAAATAGATATGTTCATATTATTTATCTCATCTTGGTTTAGTTTTAGTCAGTCATATGCACTTAGAAATTTATCATTTTCTTTTCAATTTTAAAGTGTAGTAGAATATATGTTTTTAACATACGTCCTCAGGATTTCCTGAATTTCACTGGAGGTCAACTTAAATGACTAGCCTAATCCCAGCACAGTCATCTCTGGAGACGATGTTCATACTTTTGTGGCATGCATGCTGCAGTGGGTATCTTACAGCATAGTAGTTTCTCTGTAGGCGTCCAAGGTGCCTCCACTTCAGGTAAGCTGTGGTTCGATACCAGGATCTAAATTTCATGTGTTTCACATTGAACTAGAGTCTAACAAGATTCCTCCCATAGGCTAAGAAGATGTCTACCTCCAACATGTGTGGTTTGCTGTCTGCCTTAGCCAGGACTTGGTACTATATGTGTAGTTTTAAATGTGAATAATTACTATCAGGCCAAGTTCATTTTTATTTGATATATATTTATTCTGCTTTAATTACATTTTTACATACTATAGATGCTCCTTTATATTCTGTACTTTAAGCACGCATACATACTCATGAATAGACACATAAATGCATACTTTAAAATCTTAGATTCTTTCTACAGTCACACCAATACCTTTTTGCTTTTCTTTGAAAAATATGTTTTACATTATGAATGGCAAGTTTTGTTCAGTCCTGAAATCACATCTTTAAAGGACTTAAACTTTAAAAATAAATAAGTCTATAGAAAATTTCATACGTCATACAGTATTCTTTTCACTATGATTTTTCCTGTATCCTTACCTAAAATCAAAACTGAGATAAAATTGACTTTTTGGCATCGTTTGCAGTGACTGGCAGCAGCCCTATCCAGCCCTGCCCTAGCCTTTTTCCACCTAAAGGCTAGTAAGAATTTTTGTTTACTGTAGAATATATCAATAGGAACATTCTTGATCAACAAAATTGTTGCCCCAATTTTGCAAGAGCAGACGCACTCTCAGCTGCTGAACCATCTCCTCAGCCCCATTAAGGTTTTACCTACACAATTTCATTCTCAAATCTTTTGATCAATTTCTGGTCATTCTGTTTCTTCATTTTATTCTTTAATCATTCGAGTTTATCAGGAGATAAAAGTTAAATGCTGCTTTGCATATAGTGAAATGACTACAGGAATTTGGACTTTATTCTCTTAATGTGATGGTGTATTTATTGATTTGCATATGTTGACAGCTGCTGCTGTTTACTCTTTGACTCTTTTGGGGGACCCAGCACCCAGATCCCAAATAAATCACACACAGTGTCTTATTATTAATTATAAGTGCCTGGCCTTAGCTTGGGTTGTTTCTAGCCAGCTTTTCTTAACTTAAATTATCGCACCTACTGTTTCCCTCTGAACTTCTTCCTCACTTCTGTAAATTTGACCTTTCTTCTTACTCCATGGCTGTCAAGGCCCCACTTTATTTTCACCTGCAACTGGCAATCAGGGTGTAGTTTTTCTGTGATTTTTGCCTTTATTTATTTATTTATTTATTTATTTATTTATTTATTTATTTTGGGGTTTTTTGAGACAGGGTTTCTCTGTGTTGTTTTGGAACCAGTCCTGGAACCCGCTCTGTAGACCAGGGTAGTCTCGAACTCACAGAGATCCGCCTGCCTGCCTCCCGAGTGCTGGGATTAAAGGCATGTGCCATCAACACCCGGCGATTTTTGCCTTTAAAACCTCCCTGTAAGTAACATTCCAGACTGCTCTGTGAGAAGTGTTTCTCTCCAGGCAGTCACCATGGATTAATACAAAGTCTCAATTCAGACTCTGTTTGGGCCCAGTGATCCTCGGGTCTCTACATCCCACACATTTGAAAGTCCCACTGATATCCTTTCAAGACCCTCTCCAGTTTAACCAATCCAAGGTCAGGATATGGGCCATGGACTGTGGCTCGTGTACTTCCTCCCAGGGATATACAAGCTGGCATGTTCCAGGGCTCCAGGAGAGGCAGTGTCAGAACTTGTAGAAGTCCAGGCCCTTCCAACACCCCTGTCTAAATTTCCCTCAGTGACAGTTTCCTGGTCTGTCACCTCCAGAGGTGAGCCCTAGAAATGCACTGTGGCATACCTGTTCAAACAGCTTAGCTACAAGATGGCCCACCTGTCTAAGAGTTGTGGTGGCTGCCACAATTCAGACAAGTTAACTCTGGGTCAGGAATTTTTTTTTAGTGTACTTGCCTCTGCCTCTAAGTTCTGGGATCAAAGGCATGCACCACCACCTCCTAGCCTGGGTCCGGATCTTATACAGTTGAGGCTCTCCTCTGAGTAACACCAGACTTCACTGGCTGTCTAATGCCCATGTGACCAAGGACCAGGTCCTACTCCTGGACCACCCTCAGGTCTGTTTTGAGAAACCTACCACCATCAATCCTGCTACCATCTTACCTGACGCTAACCCACAGGTGCATGCATGACTGTCTTGAGGTGACAGTTTTGGGATATTTGTACACTGTGTGAAGATATATTTTCTGTGATTCATATACTAAAAAACTGAATGGCCAACAACTAAGCAGGAGGTACAGGTGGGATTTCCGGGGAGAGAAAGGAAGAGGAGGAGGAGGAGGAGGAGGAGGAGGAGGAGGAAGAGGAGGAATTGAGACAAACAGGAGAAGCCAGGAGACACAGAGAAGAAATGGGAGGTGCAAGATGGAAGAGAGGTGACACCACGTGAGAGAACATAGATTCATATAAATGGTGTAAGTTATAAGAGCTAATTAAGATCAAGCCTAAGCTAATGGCCAAGCTTTCATAATTAATACAAAGTCTTGGTGTCATTATTTGGGAGCTGGCTGGCTGGACAGAGAAAGACTCATTACAGGTGATCAGGGTGGTCCAGGAGATAGGCCCAGATGAAATAGACACCCCCTGAAAGATTCTGATGCAGTGCTCTACATGGATGGGAGAAGCTCCAAGAAAGATGGAACCAGGATTACAAGGGCTACAGTAGTTAACTAACTGAACAGACTTGGGCTCAAGTCTTAGGGCCAGGTACCTCAACCC